CTTTTTTTTTTTTTTTTTTTTTTTTTTTTTGAGACGGAGTTTCACTCATGTTACCCAGGCTGGAGTGCAATGGCGCGATCTCGGCTCACCGCAACCTCCGCCTCCTGGGTTCAGGCATTTCTCCTGCCTCAGCCTCCTGAGTAGCTGGGATTACAGGTACGCACCACCATGCCCAGCTAATTTTTTGTATTTTTTTTTAGTAGAGACGAGGTTTCACCATGTTGACCAGGATGGTCTCTATCTCTTGACCTCGTGATCCACCCGCCTTGGCCTCCCAAAGTGCTGGGATTACAGGCTTGAGCCACCGCGCCCGGCCGCGTATTTCATTTTTTTAATGTACCCATTATGTAACCAGTACCTTATTAATTACCTTATTAATTTAGATTGTTTCCATATTGTGACAATATTATTGCTGGGCACATGGCTGACACCTGTAATCCCAACACTTTGGGAGGCCAAGGCAGGAGGATCACTGGAGCCCAGGAATTTGAGACCACACTGGACAACATAGTGAGACCTTGTCTCTACTAAAAATAAAAAAAATTAGCCAGGTATGGTGGCATGCTGCCTGTCATCCCAGCTACTCTGGAGACTGAGACAGGAGGATTGCTTGAGCCTAGGAGATCAAGGCTGCAGTGAGCTGTAATCATGCCACTGCACTCCAGTTTGGGCAATAGAGCCAGACTCTGTCTGAAAAAAAAAAAAAACCCAGTATTATAAACATCCTTAAAGTTTTTTGTACTCTTGTCCATTTATTTCCTTAGGATAAATTTGGAGTTGTTGTATCAAAGTATATAGCCTACATTTTGCGAGATAATGTAAAACAGACATCTAGAAAGGTCTTCGTTATAGATACCCACCAGCAGTGTGGGAGAGAACCCATTTCCTCCTGACACTGGATGTGATGAGCATTCTAGGTCTTTTTCAGTCTCATTGACAAAACAACTCATTGTCTCAAATTTACAAGTATTTTCGTGTTTTATTTATCATTGGTGGTTCAGTATTTTTCATATCCGTTGTCCATTTTTGAGTTTTCTTTCTGTACTTCTTTATTAAAGACTAAGCATGTTGACTCTTTTTCGGAATTATTTGTTAGGAATTTTTTTTTCTGGTTTCTCGGGGGTGGTTTGCTCTGTAAAATTTTTTATTTTTTGGCGACCAAGTTTAGCAAATGATTTCTTTATACCTTCTAAAGTATTGTGCTTTGAAGGTCCTTCTCTATCTAAAAACTACCCTAACTTTTAACATCAAATGTGGAGTGCCGGAACGCAGGTCCACGCGTTTGGTTGTCCGTGTGTCCAGCCTTTACCCATGCAGCTTTCAGTCATGGCCTCTGGTCAGGCACAGCTCAGAAAGCCAGCCCCTGACTTCAAGGCCACTGCCCTGGTGGATGGTCTTAGAGGGGGCGAAGCTGTCAACTACAAAGGGAAATACATCATCCTCTTTTTCTACCCTCTGGACTTCACTTTTCTGTGGCCCACGGAGATCATAGTGTTCAGCGACCATGCCGAGGATTTCCGTAAGCTGGGCTATGAAGTGCTGGGCATCTCGATGGACTCAGTTCACCCACCTGGCTTGGATCATCTACAGCCCCTGGAAGGAAGGAGGCTTGGGCCCCCTGAGCATCCCCTGCCTACTGACATGACAGGAAGCTTGTCTGAGGATTATAGCATTCTGAAAACAGATGAGGGCATTGCCTACCAGGGCCTCTTTATCATCGATGGCAGAGGTGACCTTTGCCAGATCACTGTTAATGATTTGCCTGTGGTGTGCTCTGTGGATGAGGCTCTGTGACTGGTCCAGGCCTTCCAGTACACGGACGAGCACGGGGAAATTTGTCCCACTGGCTAGAAGCCTGGCAGCGACGATCAAGCCCAGTGTGGATGACAGGGAATACCTCTCCAAACACAACTAGGCTGGCCGATGGATAGTGAGCTTGTGCCCCTACCTGGGTACCCTGTGCTGACCCAGGAAAGGCCAGACCTGCCCCTTCAATCTCCACAGTCTGGGACCCTGGAGGGCTAGGCCAAGGCCTTTTCCTGCTTCCACCTGGATAGTTTTTTACACACTTTATATGTAAAACATGTAAATTTTACACATTTTTGTCATTTGTTTTGGCATAGTGTGAGGTAGGAATCTAAATTTATTTTATAAATAGTTAACCAATTTTCTCAATGTCATTTTATGTATTATACTTTTTTCTACTAATTTGAAAGTCTACTTTTATAATATGTGAAATATCCATAATATGCATTGGTTTATTTCTGAACTCTTCTGTTAGATCCCTGAATCCCTGTTCCTATGCCAGTGGCTCATTCTTTTAATGACGGGAGCCATATAGTATATTCTAGACTCTGATAGTTAAGCGCCTGCCTACTCTACTGTACTTCTGTTTCAAACATTTCTGGGCCATCCATTCTGCCAGATGAACTTGAACATCATTTTGTCAAATTCCAGAATAAAAACTCCATTGAGAGTTTAATTAGATAATAGATGTGAGTGAGCATTCTGGTCTAGTGCTGTTTTGAACGGCAGTGCCTGTAGTGTGTCATCACAAAGCATACGTGTTTGATGCTGCTTTCTGAGGGTTGCTGTTTCTCACGTTTAGAGAGTGCTGTTCCACTCCAGTTTACTTTGTATTTTTATTAGAAATGAATGTTGAATGTTGTCAAATACTTTTTTTTGGATCTATCAACATGTCATAGCTGTTTTTAACCCATAAGTATAATTGAATTAATGCCTAGGTTTCTTATTGAATATTAGCCCTGAATTTCTAAAATAATCCCTACTTGATCATTGTAAACTCTTGGATTTCATGTTTACTGTTTGTTTGGAATTTTTGTGTCGCTGCTTTTAAGTGAAACTGTCCTGAATTTTCTATACTACCTTTGCCATCTTTTGGTGTCAGAATTATATTAGCCTCATAAAATAAACTGGAAGGCCAGGCACGGTGGCTCACACCTATAATCCCAGCACTTTGGGAGCCCGAGGCGGGTGGATCACCTGAGGTCAGGAGTTTGAGACCAGCCTGGGCAACATGGTGAAAGGCTGTCTCTACTAAAAATACAAAAATAAGCCAGATGTGGTGGCGTGCACCTGTAATTCCAGCTACCCAGGAGGCTGAGGCAGGAGAATCGCTGGAATCTGGGAAGCAGAGGCTGCAGTGAACCAAGATCACGCCACTGCACTCCAGCCTGGGCAACAGAGCAAGACTCTGTCACAAAAATAAATAAATAAACATATAAAATAAAATAAACTGGAAAATAGTCTTCCTTTTCCTGTTTTCTACAAGTTTATTAGATCAGGAATTATTTTTTCTTTGCAGTCTTGCCAGAACTTAGTGGTATGACCACTTCACCCTTATTCCTTTTTTTGGTTTTTGTTCTTTGACTGCCTTTTTGCATAGTTTTGATCAATTTATTGGTTTTCTAAGTCTTGGGACAATTTTTAAAGTCATTTACAATTTTTTTTTTTTTTTTTTGAGATGAAGTCTAACACTATCCCCGAGCTCGAACACAATGACACAATCTCAGCTCACTGCAATCTCTGTCTCCCAGGTTCATGCGATATTCCTGCCTCATCCTCTCTAGTAGCTGGGATTACAGATGCATACCACCACATTTGGCTTGGCAAATTTTTTGTATTTTTAGTAGAAATGTGGTTTCACTATGTTGGCCAGACTGGTCTCAAACTCCTGACCTCGTGATCTGCCTGCCTCAGCCTCCCAAAGTGCTGGGATTACAGGTGTGAGCCACCAAGCCCGGCCCATTTATAATTTTTTTAGAAATCATTTCATTCAGGAGGCTGAGGCAGGAGAATTGCCTGAACCCAGGAGGCGGAGGTTGCGGTGAGCCGAGATTGTGCCATTGCGCTCCAGCCTGGGTAACAAGAGCGAAACTCCGTCTCAAAAAATAAAAAATAAAAAAAATAAATAAAATAAAAAAAAAAAGAAATCATTTCATTCATATCTATTATGCTAGAATTGTATGAAAACATTCTCTTACAGCTTTCAAAAAATCTCACTGTTCTCATTTATAATGTGTATTTGCTAAATATTGATCATGCTTAGTAGAAATTTGTCTGCTTTGTTGAACTTTGACAAACCAGTGCTCTTATTTATCACTTCTACTTTGGTAGTAGGGCTTTATTTGCTTTCTAATCCATTAATTTTTGCTTTGGGTATTAATTCTTTCTCATCTTTCTATTGTTGGGTTTTTTGGCTGAATTTTTTTAGATTTGGTTTTTTATTATAAAAGAAATGCTTGCTTGTTGAAAAAGTTGGTACCACAGTGTATAATGTGAAAAGAGAAGTTCAACCTCCTCTTCTCACCCCACCCTCCACCCCTGCCCCAGTCCCTCTCCCTTTCCCACAGGTAATGGTAAAGATTCTGGGGGAAATCTTTCTAGAAGCTTTTCTACTTTTTCTATGCATTATTTACACATAAGTTTTGTTTTAAATTAAATTTTTTCTGGTCTTCTATTACTGTGTAACAAGTCAGCAGCACTTAAACAATAGCAATCACTGTATCTTTCACAGCTGGGGGCTGACTGGGTTCAGCTGTTTTGTTCTTGTTCAAGAGCTCATGAGATTATAGTCAGATGGTGGCTGGGGCTGGAATCACCTGAAGGTTTGCTGTCTCCCACGTCTGTCTGCTGTGCTGAGAAGACCAAGGAGCTGGAGGCTGGAATGGCAGGGGTTTCTTGGACATCTGTATCTTTACATGGTCTCCAGCATTGTGGCATCAGGGCAGCCAAGACTTTTTACATGAAAGCCCAGAACTTCAAATGCATATGCCTCAAGAGAAAGAGCTGGGTGGAAGGTATATTTTTCCCCCCCCCTTTTTTTTTTTTTTTTTAAAGACGGGGTTTTACCATGTTGGCCAGTCTCATCTTAAACTCCCGACCTCAGGTGATCCGCCCACCTTGGCCTCCAAAGTCTTGGATTACAGGCGTGAGCCACCATGCCTGGCCTATGTATTACCCTTTTTAACCTAGCTGCCGAAGTCACACAGCATCATTTCTGCTGCATTTTACTCATCAAGACAGGCACTTAGGCCTCCCGGAGTCGAAAGTTGGAAATATAGTTGCCTTTTGTTAGGTGTGTCAGAGAGGTTCCAGACATGTTAGAACCATTACACATAGCCTTGGTTGCAACATAAGTAGAATTACTACAATGAGGTTGTACATATTATTCGTTTACTTGAAATTGTATCCTTGAGTTTTGTTGGATATCTTTTGTTTTATTGTGTGTGTGAGACAGTGTCTCCCTCTGTCAGTCAGATTGGAGTGCAGTGGCATGATCTCAGCTCACTGCAGCCTCAACCTTCAGGGCTTAGGCAATCCTCCCACCTCCACCTCTCAAGTAGCTAGGACTACAGGCATGTACCACTGCATCTGGCTAATTTTTGTATTTTTGTAGACATGGAGTCTCACTGTGTTGCCCAGGCTGGTCTTGAACTTCTGAGCTCAAGCCATCCACCCATCTCAGACTCCCAGCATGCTGGGAGTAGAGGCATGAGTCACTGTGCCCAGCTTTTCTATATTACCACACATGCCTCCACTGCATTCTTTGTTAATAGTTGCATAGGTTCTGTGATATGGCTGTAACATGATTGATTTCAACTATTGATGAACATTAGGGCACCCGGTTTTCCTGTATTTCAGATAAGAATGACCTCGTTTACTCATTCTCAAGTGCTTTATTTCTTGACAAAGCTGTTGATGTTTAGATGTGTAAGGGGTCTTGGTTCTCCAACTAGTGAGTGGAGAATTTTCCTGAAATACTTTTTAGACCATTTTACCAAGATTTGGGGGAAGAAAGACTCAGAAATGTCAGCTAAGGTCACCACTTTAGAGATCCAGATATTTTTTCTTATTATAATTACTTTGTACACAAATAATTTTGTTGATCTTTGTAAACAATTCGATTAGTGAATAAACAGAGAAAACTAAACTAGGTCGTGAAATTTCAGAATATTCTGTGAAATCTGATATCTACTAAGTTTTTCTTCTAGAAGGTGGTAGGGTTGGGTTTTTTTGGTTTGTTCAATTGACTGCCACTTCATAGAGCTGGTAAATATTCATAGGAAAGAGATAAGAATGTAAATACCCTGAATTTCAAAGGTTGTTAAGGTTTGTGAAAAATAGAAAAATTTTTTGAATTTAAACGTGTGCATTTTACTTCATTTAGGTTGGAGTAATAGATTTTTCCCTATACCTTAAGGATGTGCAGGATCTTGATGGTGGCAAGGAGTAAGTACTGCGTTGTATGTCACATTTTTAATAAAATTCTGGCAAAGGCGGGTCTTTGGGCCTAGCCTAGCACGGGGTCTCCAGATGGCTAGCGGAGACCTCAAGCCTGAGGGGTGGTAGGGGTGGGGAATTTCGGGGGAAGGAGCAAACCCAGATCGGACTGCGTGACTGGGGACTTGGGGTCGGACTCTGTGATTGGGCCTGGTGGAGGTGGGCAGGGCAAGTTGGGTGTGTCTGCTGTTTTCACACTAGTGGAGCTGGAGCTGGAGGCGGCTTTCTGGGTTGGATATGCGCACGCTGGGTGTTTTCCCCCACCTGCAGAACAGGTAATGAGGCTCTTCTCTGCAAAAAAAAAAAAAAATTATTAAAAAATTCTGGCAAAGAACACTTTTTCTTGTTTTTGCTTTGAGATTTTAGATTCTGTTTAGTTATTTTTAAGTGCAGAAGCAATGCATTATTCTCATTAAGGAATTTGGCTCTGCAGAATAGAGTGCAGGTGGAATTTCCCCATTCACATTGTCCCAGCGCCTCCATGTCAATCCCACTCCCCTCAGAGGAAACTACCCTTACGGCTCCTTCCAAGACTGTTCAATGCCTTGCAAGTATTTGTTTGTTGGTCGTGTATTTTGCTTGACCATTTGTTCAAATATAAATGGGCTAGAACTATATAAGTTGCCCTTGGACTTGTTCTTTAATCGTTGTGTTTTAGATGTCTTTTTATGCCACTGTATAACTCTCCCTCACCCTTGATAACAAGAGTATTCTTTTAAAATAAGTTGGGGGGGGGGACTATAACATACTACCGTTTATGTTATAATAAAAAAGGATATGCATACATATTTATATGTTTTTACTGCCTTTTTTTTTTTTTTTTGAGATGGAGTCTTGCACTGTCACCCAGGCTGGAGTGCAGTAGCACGATCTCGGCTCACTGCAATCTCCACCTTTCAGATTCAATTGATTCTCTTGCCTCAGCCTCCCAAGTAGCTGGGATTACAGGCACCTGCCACCACACCCAGCTAATTTTTTGTATTTTTAGTAGAGAGGGGGTTTCACCATGTTGGCCAGGCTGGTCTGGAACTCCTGACCTTGTGTTTCACCCGACTCTGCCTCCCAAAGTGCTGAGATTACAGGCATGAGTCGCTGCACCCAGCCTATATGTTTTATTTTCATATGTATGCATGGAACATTTCTAGATTGGCATATCAACCTTATAGTAGTGGTTGCCAGTGGAGCCAGGCATGGTAGGGAGTTTTCACTGTAAACTCTGGGATTTCATTTGACTATTTCATCTTGTGCATATGTAACCTGCCTTCCAACTACTTTTTTTTTCTTCGTAAAGACGAGGTTTCACCGTGTTGGCCAGGCTGGTCTCGAACTCTAGACCTCAGGTGATCCGCCCACCTCAGCCTCCCAAAGTGCTGGGATTACAGGCGTGTGCCAACATGGGTAACCACAAAATAAAATTTTTTATTTATTTATTTATTTATTATTTTTTTTTTTTTTGAGACGGAGTTTCGCTCTTGTTACCCAGGCTGGAGTGCAATGGCACGATCTCGGCTCACCGCAACCTCCGCCTCCTGAGTTCAGGCAATTCTCCTACCGGTATATTGAATGAGACTATACTATATTGAATGAGGAAAGTATGATTCTAAGGAGTATATATATCCTGTTTTTATAAACAAGTCAAAAAATTCCTAGTATATATTTTATATTGTAATTGTATGTACTACATGTATATTAGATAGATACCATGATTATATATGCACATAGAAGGATACTCTGGCTAGGCATGGTGGCTCACACCTGTAATCCCCACACTTTGGGAGGCCGAGGAGGGCAGATCACAAGGTCAAGAGATCGAGACTATCCTGGCCAACATGGTGAAACCCCGTCTCTATTAAAAATACAAAAATTAGCTGGGCATGGTAGCTGGCACTTGTAGTCCCAGCTACTCAGGAGGCTGAGGCAGGAGAATCACTTGAACTGGGAAGGTGGAGGTTGCAGTGAGCTGAGATTGTACCTCTGCACTCCTGCCTGATAACAGAACAAGCTGTGTCAAAAAAAAAAAAAGCATACTCCACAGGCTATCAGTATGGGCAACCTGGAGAGCAGAGCAAGTTAAAGGAAAAATATGACTATACCAGAAAACAAACACAGCACCCATGTCATGAACCTGTGTAGGATAATCCCCTTTTATGTGGATTACATATGGATATATGTATGTAAAGAAATTAGGAGAGCCTTGATTGCCTGATGCTCCATTAAAAAAAAAAAAGAGAGAGAGAAAGAAAAATTAGGAGAACCTAACTTTAAAATGTTTATCTCTTTTTTTTTTTTTTTTTTTTTTTGCCTCACGATCTTACTCTGTCACCCAGGTTAGAGTGCAGTGGCATGGTCATCACTCAGTGTAGCTTCAACCTCCTGGGTTCAAGCAATCTGCCACCTTAGGAGGTGGAGGGACCACAGGAGTAGCTGGGACTATAGGTGTGCATCACCATGCCCAGCTAATTTTTGTATTTTTTTAGAGACAGGGTTTCAATATGTTGCCCAGGCTGGCCTTAAAATCCTGGACTCAAGCGATCCACCTGCCTTGGCCTCCCAAAGTGCTGAGATTACAGCACTTTTTATTTTTATTTTTTTCTTTCTCTGTTCCTGTAGAAATGAGCATAAATAATTTTTTTTTAACCCAAACTGCCCTAGACTTTAGACTGATCCGCTTGGTGTTTTGAAAAGTTTCATGCTCTCCTTTCCTTCAGTATAATAAGGGTTGTGTTATCTGCCACTTCCAAAGCCATTTGCATGTGGCAGGTTGGTATTTTCACCTTGCTTGCTTCCTGAAACCTTGGTCTGCAGGGGGCCCACTCTCCTGGCAGCCTGGCCCTGGAGGCACTGGCTACTGTGTCCCTGACCGGCCTTGCTCTCTGTACTCTGGGAATGTGGATGTTACTAAGCTCTGGCTGTCTCTTGGTTTCTTGAAGACATTGGTACTTCTACAAGGTGATTGGAAGGTTGGGGAACAGTTACAAAGTATTAACCATGAATTTTTTTAAAAAGTATCCCTTTTTGTACTCCTTTTAAAAGGCATGAAAGAATTACTGATGTCCTTGATCAAAAAAATTATGTGGAAGAACTTAACCGGCACTTGAGGTAAGACTCTTTTTTTTTTTTTTCAGCGTGACAGTTACATACTCAGTATTCTATCATTGTTGCATGGAACTTCTTTGAGTTGCCGTATATTTATAAATAACTTGTTTTCAAACCAAGAAAAAAAGGCCATCATTCAGGCAACATTTATTTGTACAAACTGGAGAAGTATGTTTCTTCTTGATAAATGCTTGGGAAATCTTTATTCTGTGCTTTATGCAGTTATATAATACAGAAAAATAACTACATTAAACCTTGACTCTCTACTTCTCACCCCATAGCTTTGTGGTTGGAAATCCCATCATGGCAAGCACTATTGCTGCTGGGAATTGGCACACAGCACCCAGTGCATTACGGCAGGAAAAAGAGTCGAGAACCACTGGGCTAGGCTCTCCAGAGCAACATACTAGTGATCACAGGCATCTTTATCTTGATTTTTTTAAATTTTTGCTGGAAATCTGTGGATATGTTTCATGAAATACTAATCCTTGGAGGTATTCGTGGGGAATGCAGAGAGACATGTCATTCCATTTCTGAGTCCTCTCTAGAGAGTACATTGCATATTACAGTTCTCCTTAGGGGCAGCCTCTCTGGCCCCAAAAATCAGGTGAAGAAGCCAACATGTTCCTTCCAATATAGTTAGGGACACATCACTTTGGGGCTGTTTTTTATTTTTATTTTTATTTTTTTTTTTTTGACAGGGTGTCTCGGCTCACTGTAGCCTCGATTTCCCAGGCTCAAGCAGTTTATTTTCCCACCTCAGCCTCCTGGGCAGCTGGGACTACAGGCACGCACCACCCGTCCTGGCTAATTTTTGTAGAGACAGGGGTTTGCCATGTTGCCCAGACTGATCTCGAACTCTTGCACTCAAGCAGTCCTCCTGCCTCAGCCGCCCAAAGTGCTAGGATTATAGGCGTAAGCCACCACACCCAGCCTGGAGCTCTTCTTAACTGTGCTGGTGGCTATTTTTTGAAAAAGGTTTTTGGTCGATTCCTAGTTTATTGAGAATATTTATAAGAAATAGGCCAGGCGGGCCGGGCGCGGTGGCTCAAGCCTGTAATCCCAGCACTTTGGGAGGCCGAGGCGGGTGGATCACGAGGTCAAGAGATCGAGACCATCCTGGTCAACACGGTGAAACCCCGTCTCTACTAAAACTACAAAAAATTAGCTGGGCATGGTGGCACGTGCCTGTAATCCCAGCTACTCAGGAGGCTGAGGCAGGAGAATTGCCTGAACCCAGGAGGCGGAGGTTGCGGTGAGCCGAGATCGCGCCATTGCACTCCAGCCTGGGTAACAAGAGCGAAACTCCACCTATAAAAAAATAAAAAATAAAAAAATAAAAAGAAATAGGCCAGGCACTGTGGCTTACGCCTGTAATACCAACACTTTGGGAGGCTGAGGTGGGTGGATCACCTGAGGTTGGGAGTTTGAGACCAGCCTGACCAACATGGAGAAACCCTGTCTCTACTAAAAATACAAAATTAGCCAGGTGTGATGGCACATGCCTGTAATTTCAGCTACCCAGGAGGCTGAGGCAGGGGAATCGCTTGAACCTGGGAGGCAGAGGTTGTGGTGAGCCAAGATCACACCATTGCACTCCAGTCTGGGCAACAAGAGCAAAACTCCATCTCAAAAAAAAAAAAAAATAAAAAAAGATAGATATTGAATTTTATCAAATGCCTTTTAGTGTCCATTAAAATAATCATGGTTTTTATCCCTTAATCTACTGTGTGGTATATTTTATTAATGGACATCTTCACACTGGGTCTTTCCTGTATTACAGGGATAAACTCCACTTGATCATTTTTTATTATGATTTTTTTGAGACAAGTGGCTTAGACTGTCATCCAGGCTGGAGTACAGTGGTACAATCATGGCTCACTGCAGCTTCCACCTCCCTGGGCTCGGGTGATTTGCCCACCTTAACCTTCCAAGTAGCAGGAACTACAAGTACACACCACCACACCTGGCTAATTTTTTGTAGAGATAGGGTCTCAATTTGTTGCCCAGAGTGGTCTCAAATTCTTGTCCTCAAGCGGTCCTCCCCACTTAGCCTCCAAAGTGCTGGGATTATAGGCATGAGCCACCTTGTTCAGCCAGGATTATAGTTTTAATAATTCAGTTATCCTTTTAATAGGTAACTTGACTTTCTGGGAATTTTATAGTTTTCTTTATCTGCCATCATATCAGGCTTATGTAGCATTGCAAAATGAATTAGTAAGCTTTGCCTTATGCCTGGGAACAGTTTCTAGATCATGGGCATTATTTGTCCCTTGAAAATATGAAGTAGCCGGGCACAGTGGCTCACACCTGTAATCTCACACCTTATCCCTGTGATACAGGAGGTGGTTAGATTACCTGAGATCAGGAGTTTGAGACCAGTCTGGCCAACATGGTAAAACCCTGTCTCTGCTAAAAATACAAAAATTAGCTGGGCGTGGTGTTGGGCACATGTAGTCCCACCTACTTGAGGTTGAAGCAGGGGAATTGGTTGAACCCAGGGAGCAGAGGTTGCAGTGAGCCAAGATCATGCCACTGGACTCCAACCTGGGCAACAGAGCGAGACTCCATCTCAAAACAAAAAAAAAAAAAATGAAGCTTAAAGCATTTATGAGGCAGTGCCTTACTAGCTTTTTAGTTGTTAGTTCATTAGGTTTTCTTTTGAGGATATATCTTTCTTTGGTCATTTATATTTTTAAGAAAAAATATAAAATTTGGAGGTATTTTCTAAGTTGTCAAGTTGGCACAGAATTGACTCTTAAAATTGTATACTCTTAAAATTTTTAATTCCCTCTGTATCTTTGTTTTTTTCCCTTTTTCATTTCGTGTCTTTGTATTTTTATATTTGCTCCTGGTTCCTAAACCTTGGTTCATTAGCCCTACCAAGTTTATTTCTTTGTTCCCCACTCACTGGCAACAGGGACTGGTCTTTGGCAGCATGGCCTGTTGCCCAGAAGTACAGGCTCTAGAGCCAAATCCCCTGGGTTCAGATGCCAGCAGCCCTTTGTAGTTGTGTAAACTTGAGTTAATTCTTTTATGTAAAATTATGGCTGCCTTGTCTGTAAAATAGGCTAACAGTAGGATCTACCTCATCAAATTGTGGGGAAGATTAAATGAGTTGATGTATTTAAAGTGCATAGAGGCCAGGCATGGAAGCTCACGCCTATAATGTCAGCAGTTTGGGAGGCTGAGGCAGGAGGAGGATACCTTGAGCCCAGGAGTTCAAGATTAGCCTGGGCAACATAGTGAAACCCCACGTCTCCAAAAAACATACAAACTTTAGCTTGACATGGTGGCAAGGTGGGAGGATCACTTGAGCCTGGGAGGTCAAGGCTGCAGTGAGCCATGATCACACCACTGCACTCCAACCTGGGCAACAGAGAGCAAGACCCTGTTTCAAAAACAAAAAAGAAAAAAGTAGTACATATTACTTAAAGAATATTTTTTAAATGGGGAAAGTATAAAAGGTATTTTAAAATATCCTGGATCTTTTTACCCCAAAATACCAATACCTTGTTAATGAATTTTATTTTAGGTATATGACTGCCAGCACATTTTGGTTTCTATCACCTTTTGTGTTGGGAGAAAAAAATTCTTTTTCTAAATGACTAAAAAAGAAATAAGCCGGGCACAGTGGCTCACACCTGTAATCTCAGCACTTTGGAAGGCCAAGGCAGGCAGCGTCACCTGAGGTCAGGAATTTGAGACCACCCTGGCAAATATGGTGAAACCCCGTCTCTACTAAAAATAAAAAAAAAATTAGCCAGGTGCAGTGGCACATACCTGTAGTCTTAGCTACTTGGGAGGCTGAGGCTGGAGAATCGCTTGAACCCGGGAGCCAGAGGTTGCAATGAGCTGAGATCACTCCACTGCACTCTAGCCTGGGCAACAGAGCGAGACTTCGTCTCAAAAAAAAGAGTGTATTTTAGGGATAAAACTTACTGAAAAGTATGTCGCATATGTATATTTAGAATTCTCATCTTCTCTGTGTTAATTGGAGACTCCTTTGCCTTTCCATTTAATACAGGAAATCTAGGAATCTCTCTTATTGTTTACGGGTTGAGGAAACAGTCAGTTTTTATAAGTTTATGTTTACCTAATATTATTATTTTCTACAGCTGCACAGTTGGGGATCTTCAAACCAAGATAGATGGCTTGGAAAAGACTAATTCAAAGCTTCAAGAAGAGGTTTGTAAGTTTTATTGAAATTTTTAGACAAAACAGAATGACCCAAGGTTAAGAGAAATGGGGCAGTCGGTCTGTGTAAGTAGAGCTTCTTGCTGGTGGGAAGGGGACTTGTGAGCCACCAGTTGCCCCATGTGGGACAGGAGAATGTCTATGTTCTGTCCTGTCTGAGGCACTCCATAAGACACTGCAGCTGATCACAAGCCAGTTCTGAGTGACTTCGATTTTATCACCTCAAAGTCATCCCATAGAAGGAAATCCTGTTTGGGAAAGCCCAGCTTCTGTTGTGGAAGTGCCGTGTCCTCTTTTTCTGCCCTTCCTATGATGCCGTATGCCCCTTGCTGTCCAGAAAGCACAGACTCTGTCATAAGGAATAAGCATCCTAGCCCACCCCTTCTGCTTTGGCCTCAGGAGCGTGCAACCAGCCTCCCCACAGTGTGGTCTTTCTCTGTTTCCTCACTAGGAAGAGAGAATGGAAGGACAGGACAAAGGAGGGCTGAGGCCGAGGAATAGAGCTTGCTGTGTTAGCTGCCCAGCAGGCTCCTTGGTAGACGCATCTTGTCTCCTGTTAGCAGGAGGGGGGGTGCTCTTCTGAGGCTTTCCACAGGTAGCTGTCCCTGGCCGCCCAGGCCTCCCACCTGGAAGGATGAGGGCTCTGAGAGGGGCTTAAGAAGGAACACCTCCACAGCATGGAGGCAGGTTACAGCAGAAAAGAGAGCCTCAGAGCACACCTCTATAACGAGAAACCCCGTGTAAGGCTCCCTTTATGCTGACTGCTGCTTCCTGAGGCGCCAGCCCTGAAAGTCTTTCAGGAAAGGCACTCAGATTGGTGTGAGTAGAAGGAAATTCAAGACAGTATCATAGATGGGGGTGTCATGGGAGAAACTTCATGGAACTTAGAATTGGAGGCTTCACAGTCGCCTTGGTAGGCAGGCCTTTGAGCCTCAGATGTTAGGTAGATCAGTCGTTCAGCCTCACTTTTCTCACCTCCAAATTAGGTAATAATACATACTTTACAATACTGTTGTAAAGACTAAGATTAATATCCTTTTTTTTTTTTTTTGAGACGGAGTTTCGCTCTTCTTACCCAGGCTGGAGTGCAATGGCGCGATCTCGGCTCACCGCAACCTCCGCCTCCTGGGTTCAGGCAATTCTCCTGCCTCAGCCTCCTGAGTAGCTGGGATTACAGGCACGCGCCACCACGCCCAGCTAATTTTTTGTATTTTTAGTAGAAACGGGGCTTCACCATGTTGACCAGGATGGTCTTGATCTCTTGACCTTGTGATCCACCCACCTTGGCCTCCCAAAGTGCTGGGATTACAGGCGTGAGCCACCGTGCCTGGCGATTAATATCCTTTAGATGTGCTTAGGATAACACTTGGCATGTGGGAGCACTCCCAGAGTTGTTTGATTTTAGAACAAGTAGATTCACTGTATCTCAGACAAGATGGCGTGCTTTGGTGAACGTCCAGTTTAGCTTTTGAAACTAAACAGAGTTATGTGGGGTTGTTTTGCTTTTTGAGACAGGATCTCACTCTGTCATCCAGGCTGGAATGCAGTGGCACAGTCATAGCTTACTGTAACCTCAGACTCCTGGGCTAAAGAGACCCTCCTGCCTCAACCTCCTTAGTAGCTGGGACTCTAGGCACACACCACCAATACCTGGCTAATTTTTTAACTTTTTGTAGAGATGGGATCTCACTTTGTTGCCCAGGTTGTTCTCAAACTCCTAGGCTAAAGTGAGCCACACACCTTGGCCTCCCAAAGTGTTAGGATTACAGACGTGAGTCACCGTGCCCAGCTTGGGCTATGTTTTCTTTAAAGGCAAATGGTTGTGATAGAAAATGTGTTTCTGCCAGGCGTGGTGGCTCATGCCTGTAAATCTCAGCTCTTTGGAGGGCCGAGGTGGAAGGCTCGCTTGAGCCCAGGAGTTTGAGACCAGCAAGGGCAACATGGCAATACCCTGTCTCTACAAAAAATTTAAAAATTAGTTGTGGTGGCACACACCTGTACTCCCAGCTACTTAGGAGGCTGAGGTGGGAGGATCACTTGAGCCTAGGAGTTTGAGGCTACAGTGAGACAGAGTGACACCCTGTCTCATTAAAAGGAAAGAAATATGCTTAGTGAAAAGCATAACTCTCTTCAGGGTGTGCTCTCTGCATCTCCAGAGAGTGGAATGGGAATTAGTTTATGTTTTTTGCCTGCTTCTTCCCTCTGGGCAACTAACACGCCTTTTAAAGCCTTGATGTTTCTTATTTTGGACACAGCAATTATGTGTAGAAACCCCAGGCCTGGGTTCTGAGTCTAAGTAGAGAGTAATTATCAGGAGTTTTAGATGCTGTTCACAGAGAAAGTGAGGCATTAGGTGTTTCTAGGTCCCTCCACTAGTGAATGAGAGCCCAGCCAAATACTAAGGACAGAGATCTTGCTTCTTTCTACCTAGCTCCACCTTCCTCTCTGCATGCTGTGTAATGAGGCTGGAATAAGGAGGGGCTGGTTGGTGTGTTTATTCATCTGCCTCGCCTCTTGCGACAGGCTCTCCTTAGGCAGGTCCCTCACAGTGTCCTGCTTCCTTATGCTTTTCCTTCAGCCATGAGAAGTCCTTCCAGGGGAAGAAGAGGTCTTCTCGGGCATATCTTCAATGATTTGTTTTTTATTCCTCCCTGCAAATTCTGTAATTCTCCCTCTAGGGATTTAAATATACTTTCACTGATTATTATCTAGAAAAACTGGAAAGAATGAAGAGTCAGAAAAAAAAAGCCCATTATCCCTTTACTAAGTGACAACTGTTCTTATCATTTTGTTATTTGAAATAAAAATAATAAAATGGCTCCATCTTTCCTTTTTTTTTTTGAGACAGGATCTGGCTTTGTCACCCAGGCTGGAGTGCAGTGGCATAATCTTGGCTCATTACAACCTCTGTCTCGTGGGCTCAAGCCATCCTCCCACCTCAGCCTCCTAAGTAGCTGGGATTACAGGCATGAGACATCACGGCTGGCTGATTTTGTATTTTTTGTAGAGACGGAGTTTCACCATGTTGCCCAGGCTGGTCTCGAACTCCTGGGCTCAAGCAATCTGACCACCTCAGCCTCCCAAAGTGCTGGGATTACAGGTGTGAGCCACTGCATCCAGTCACTTTGTCTTTTCTTAACCATTTTTAATGTAGTTGATTTTTCTTTTAATACAGGGGAGCACATACGGTGTAACCTTTTTCCCTATTATTATATCTTAAGTATGTTCTCAAGTCATTAAAAGCTTTTGTAAACATTTTATTGACTACATAGTTCTGTTTTATGCTTCCACTATGATTTAACTATTTCTCTAATAGTAAACATTCAGGCTGTTTCTAATTTTTCATGTCTATAAATCTTTGTCCACATTAAGCAGTCTGCTATCATTTTTGTAAAAGGGGAGAAAGCTTGGAGAGGGCAGAGATGGCTAGGGGCATGGGTGGAGGAGAGATTGTGCTATATACATTTTCATGTCTTTGGAATTTGGAACCATATATTATTACCTGTTGAAAACAAGAAAATAAAATATCAAACCTGTGAAAAAATATTGTCAACTGTGAAGATACCAAATTAATGTTAGTTTTTAATTTGAACAGTAAGATTAATTTTGATGTTAAGAACTGTTAAAATTTTCCTTAATCAGCTTTCAGCTGCAACAGACCGAATTTGTTCACTTCAAGAAGAACAGCAGCAGTTAAGAGAACAAAATGAATTAATTCGAGAAAGAAGTGAAAAGAGTGTAGAGGTGAGAAATTGACCTTACAGTTGGACAGCAAGTTTCTTATTCAGACACAGCTATTGTCAATCTCAAGTCCATAGCTTAATAATGACCCAGTCTTCAGAATGCAAAGGTACTTTGCTTGATGTCAGAAAGTGCCTCTCACCGCCATCCCTGCCCACGTCACTCTGAGACCACCTGGATCACTTGGACGGGGACTCCCTGCCTGGCCTATGGGCCTTTGCATGCCAAAGTTCCTGCTCGTTTTTCAGCATCCACTCACATGCCATGTCCTCTGTGATGCCATCCCGGGGCCATGGGTGGGCCTGGGCCCTCCTCCCATATTCCCATGGCTCTTTGTGTCCTTCCATGATACAGTCCATTTGCTGTTTGGTAGAATTGTTGGCTTGCAGCTCTGTCACCCGATACCTTGAGGATAGAGACCATGTCTGATTCACTTTTAAAGTCACTCAGTGCTAAAAACATGTTCATAAATACTGGATGATGGGTTGAATGAGAGCTTTTCCTGTGAATTGAGCCTTGTTCTGTTTTAAAGAAAATTAAATTTAAATTTCTTTATGAACGTAACTTTTTTTTATTTGAAACAGAGTCTTGCTCTGTTGCCCAGGCTGGAATGCTGTGGCATGATCTCTTGCTCACTGCACCCTCCACCTCCCGGGTTCAAGTGATTTTCCTGCCTCGGCCTCCCGAGCAGCTGGAATTACAGGCGCATGCCACCACACCCAACTGATTTTTGTATTTTTAGTAGAGACAGAGTTTTGCCATGTTGCTCAGCTGATCTCAAGCCCCTGGCCTCAAGTGATCCACCTGCCTGGGCTTCCCAAAGTGCTGGGATTATAGGTATGAGCCACTGCACCCAGCCTATGAACTTACTTTTCAAATATCTGTTGACTTACTCTCATTCTTTATCTTCAAGTTCTGATATCTAAAATTTTAACCTTTTTCTATCATGCTTAAAAAATAAAAATTACCTTATTTTTTTAAATTGTGGTATATTTTTAAATACTTTGTAATTAGCTTGCTTTCCATAAGCAAACAGTTCCTCTTGGTGTCCTTGTTTGATATAGATAACAAAACAGGATACCAAAGTTGAGCTGGAGACTTACAAGCAAACCCGGCAAGGTCTGGATGAAATGTATAGTGATGTGTGGAAGCAGCTAAAGGAGGAGAAGAAAGTCCGGTTGGTGAGTGTGCAAGACTACTCAGTGTCTTTAGAAAGAGCTTCCCAGTAGCCCTCTAAGTTAATTCTGTCAGCACTTTTCACAGACATGCTTAACCCTGCTGATGCTCACAGAAAGTCAGAAGCTGTTTATTTAAAAAAACAAAACAAACAAAAAAAAAAAAACCTATGTTTACAACTCAGTTGTGGATTGTCACCTACATTTTTTCCTGTTTTATAAATTTTGTTCAGGGATTGCTATGAGACCAGATTCATGGTTTCTTAGACAATACACTTCTCAGTCATAGCCTCTGGCCTATCTATTTCCACTCAACCTGTGCATCAGTGACAGAAGTTACTTATAAACACTGTTCTTGTGCCTGCTTTGTTTCTTTGCTTCTTTGCATGGATGCAGGGAAACATGTCCTGGGTCAGGACAGAACCATTTCAAAATGGTTGCACTTTTGTTGCTATAAGCTAGCAAACCATTCCAGAAATTCTAACATTGCACTATCAGATCACCTCCAGCACTCTAACAAGACAGATATTCTTTGAGACCATGCATTCTGATCTGTGGGTGTGGAAAACATGGTTGCTAGAACCTAGGCTCATCCAGTCACTGACCAGCTTTCTGTTGACGATATGGAGCCAGCTTTAACCGTACAGTAAGGAAAAGGGGGAAACGCCATCTAATCCTGCTCCAGACAGACTCTTTTCAATCTCCCTCACCTATTCTCACCTTCAGTTTGTTTGTTTTATTTTGTTTTTTTCTTTAAGACAGTCTCACCCTATCACCCAGGCTGTAGTGCAGTGGTGGTGTGATCTCAGGTCACTGCAACCTCTGCCTCCCGGATTCAAGCAATTCTCATGCCTCAGCCTCCTAAGTAGCTGAGATTACAGGCGCACACCACCACACTGGCTAATCTTTGTATTTTTAGTAGAGATGGGGTTTTGCTTTGTTGGCCAGGCTGCTCTCGAAATCCTGGCCTCAAGTGATCCACCTGCCTGGGCCTCCCAAAGTGTTGAGATTACAGGCCTGAGCCACCCCACCCAGCCTTCAGTTTGTATTTTGTTTTTTGTTGGGTTTTTTTTTGTTTTTTTTTTTTGAGATGAAGTCTTGCCCTGTCACCCAGACCGGAGTGCAGTGGCACAATCTCAGCTCACTGCAACTTCTGCCTCCTGGATTCAAGCGATTCTCCTCTCAGCCTCCCTAGTAGCTGGGATCACAGGCACCCACTACTGCACCCAGCTAATTTTTTGTATTTTTAGTAGAAATAGGGTTTCACCATGTTGGACAGGCTGGTCACGAACTCCTGACCTCAGGTGACCCACCTGCCTTGGCCTCCCAAAGTGTTGGAATTACAGGTGTGAGCCACACAGTCCACGGCCAGGCCTTCAGTTTGTATTTTAAGCATTGCCTGAGATTCAACCACAATTAAATACATTTGTGTGATCTATTTTAATAACATTTTCCTTGTAAATATCCTTGTAAGGAACTGGAAAAAGAACTGGAGTTACAAATTGGAATGAAAACCGAAATGGAAATTGCAATGAAGTTACTGGAAAAGGACACCCACGAGAAGCAGGACACGCTAGTTGCCCTCCGCCAGCAGCTGGAAGAAGTCAAAGCGATTAATTTACAGATGTTTCACAAAGCTCAGGTGGGAGTTGGCTTTGTCCATAGCACAGCCTGGTTTCTACTGCTTGCCTGTCTTGTGTCATTCTTATAGAATGATTGAATAGACACATAGAGCCCTTTGTATATGTCAGACCTGTTCATAGGACCTATTATGTGTTATTGATTTTTATCATCAGAGCAGTCCCTGAGAAATGGAAATGGAAATGACAAGGCCGAACCAAGTGACTAAATTACATGCCCCGGTGACATAGCTCATAAAGAGAGGTCTTCTTAACCCAAACCCAAACTTTGTCCTTCCATCTTCACTGTCTCTCCACTGTCTTTCCTTCTATTTCAGTGATTCATTGTTTATACCAAGCATGGAGGAGTGAATTAAAGATGTGATTTAGTATTGTCTTTTCTAACTTTACCATTAAGTTAATCTTACACAGGTAACTAGTTGCCTCTCCGTGTCATTTCAGGGTGATCCAGAGGAACTATCACAGACAGAATCAGTCATGCCAGAGTCTGAAAAATGCCATCTAAAAATTAGAAAGCTTTTATTGCCCAGAAGCTACCCAGAAGGGCACCATTCTGCATCCTTCTCAAAACTTTTATTGTTCATAAGGTCAGGATATCAAAACCATCCTGGCCATGGTGAAACCCCATCTCTACTAAAATACAAAAAAAAAAAAATTAGCTGGGTGTGGTGGCACGCGCCTGTAGTCCCAACTACTCAGGAGGCTGAGGCAGGGGAATCACTTGAATCTGGGAGACGGAGGTTGCAGTGAGCTGAGATTGTGCCACTGCACTCCAGCCTGGCGAAAGAGCAAGACTCCATCTCAAAAAAAAAAAAAATTATTTAACATTTCTGATTCCTATTTTCTTGCCAAAACAGTCCCATTTCATTTTCCGTGGATATAGCTTTACTCTTCCTATAGCATCTATGTCACAGATAATATGAGACAGCAATAATAAACTTATTTTTTCCTGTCATTTTAAAACTTAATTGGCTGGGCACAGTGGCTCATGCCTGTAATCCCAGCACTTTGGGAGGCCAAGGTGGGCGGATTGCCTGAGGTCAGGAGTTCGAGACCAGCCTGACCAACATGGAGAAATCCCATTTCTACTAAAAATACAAAATTAGCCGGGCATGGTGGCGCTTGCCTGTAATCCCAGCTACTCGGGAGGCTGAGGCAGAAAATTGCTTGAATCCAGGAGGCAGAGGTTGCCGTGAGCCAAGATCGCACCACTGCACTCCAGCGTAGGCAACAAGAGCAAAACTCTGTCTCAAAAAAATATGTATTAATCAAGATTATAATAGCAACAGTAAATATTGAAGTAAAATAAAAGAAGAAAGAAAGAATACGCATCTCTTCCCCAGTGATAAAAAAAAAATTTTTTTAATTTTAAGGGAAGAAAGAAAATAGTTTCACCTTCCTGACAAATCATCTATTTTAATTTTTTTATGTTTTCTTCTGGTATTAATTAGTAAACAGGCATAATATAAATGTGTGTTTGTTAGGGAAAACTAAACTGCTGTAAGAACTTAGCAGACCCTAAAATCTCTATTTGTTGACCAAATTTCCATGCTTAAAGGCAGTGAAAAAAAAATACACACACACACATTCTCATGTATATGGGAATTTGTATTTCTGTTATGTAATGGTTGCAGGATGGGCATTTCAGACTAGCACTTTTGTTCCCCACAGTCATTCAGGGCCCCAACTGTTCGGGCCACTCTAGTTGTCGCCGTTCTTACCATTGGAAGGTAGGGGAAAAACAAAAGTCCAGAGCTAGGACTTCCTCTCAGGCAGTGAGACAGAAGTTGCACACATTGCTTGCAGTCAGTTCCATGGGAAGGAGTTGGTCACCAGTGCCACGCTTATCTCCTAGGGGGACCTGGAAGCTCCTTTTTTCCTGAGCTACAAGCCAGGGGAAGGAAAGAGAGATGTTGGTAGATAGATCATTGTCTCTACCACAGTCAGCCCACGGAAGCTGCCGTGACATCCCAGCTGGACCCTGCATCCTCCTCAAATCTGCAGACTCTGGCTGATGTGTAGCCCTCTCCTGCAGCCCATGGGACCTGTGGCCCAGAAGGCTAGTGTCTTTCTCACGTTAGCCTGTCACCCACAGCATGAAACAGTGGAGCAGAAACAAGACATACATAGTGGAAATGCCCGTGTGGGAAAGGGAGACACAGCAGAAGCCAGCCCCTGGGGCAGGAACCACGAAGACTACTGCACCTAATGGTGGGCTCTGTTTTTTTAGCATGCCTGGCCACCCTGGTTCTGCCTTTGGAATAATTTTTTGATCAGCTGACCCCGCATCCCCCAAGAGGTCCACCATCATCTATGGCCACATCTGAAGAGGGCTCAGAGCATACCCTCCTTGGGGGCTGTGCAGCTTTTATGACCAGCTTCTTCAACCAGCTTCTTGCTGGGATCTCTTGGCCAGCCTGGCTGTTGTAGTAGGGATCAGTCACAGATGTTTTTCAGGCTACACACTCGATGCCTGTGATAAGGCAGTTGCCTCAGTCGCAGCCTCTGTTCAGTTTACTTCTCCTTGGTCTGTGTGTCAGTGACCAGAGTTCCCCCTGAACACTACTGTTCTTGCTCCTGCCTTATTACTTTGCTTCTTTGCTGTGTGTGTCTGTGTATCTTTCCTTCTGCCTCTCCCTCTGTCATGTTAATGAGTGGTCATCTGAAACAACAGATTTAGGTGTGAGAGAAGCACCTTTGATATGGTCTTCACTGCACCGCTGTTCTATAGCACCTTCATTGCTGCTCTTAGTCATCTATTTTAGGGTCCAGAAGCAGTTAATGTTTCTGATTCTGTGAGGTCCCTACCGTTGGCCTCTTTATTCCTGTTCATCTCTCCGTGCCAGCCAGCTGACTTCCGCCTGTGCATGGCCCTTCCTCACAACACCTTGTTAAGACAGCAAGACAGCCAACATGCACTGTCCTGGCTCCTGCAGCTCTTTCCAGGCATTGCTGGCCTGTGCTGTTTGCCCAGCTTAGGCAAGTGACAGTTGTACCCAACACTTTGCCATAGCTAACAGGGATCACCAGCTTTACAGCTGCCAGCTTCTACTTTGACAGCACCCACCCCTGCTTCCCAAGTCAATGCCACATATGGTCAGTTTTCTTTTCTTTTTTTTTTTTTGGGGGGCGGGGACAGGGTCTGGCTTTGTTGCACAGGCTGGAGTATAGTGGTGAGATCTCAACTCACTGCAGCCTCCACCTCCCAGGTTCAACCAATTCTAATACCTCAGCCCCCCGTGTGGTTGGGATTATAGGTGCTTGCCACCATGCCAGCTAATTTTTGTATTTTTGGTGGAGACAGGGTTTCACCATGTTTCCCGGGCTGGTCTTGAACTCCAGAGCTCAAGCAGTCTGGCCCGCTTCAGCCTCCCAAAGTATTGTGATTACAAGTGTGAGCCACCACACCTGGCCCAATATGGTTGGCTTTCATTTGAGAAGCACCACACACCAAGAGACTCTCTGGTACTGCTAGGATTGTATCCTCTTGTTTTCACTCTAAACCCTTTTCCCCCTTTGGGCTTCCAATGTAGATGGTTGAGTCAATCATATTCCTTTTTTTTTTTTTTTTTTTTTTTTGGGAGGGAGTTTCACTCTTGTTGCCCAGGCTGGAGTGCAATGGTGTGATCTCAACTCACTGCAATCTCCAGCCTCCACCTTCCTGGTTCAAGCGTTTCTCCTTGCTCAGCCTCCCAAGTAGCTGGGATTACAGGCATGCACCACCATGCCCAGCTAAGTTTTGAATTTTAGTGGAGATGGGATTTCACCATGTTGGTCAGGCTGGTCTTGAACTCCTGACCTCAAGTGATCCACCCGCCTCAGCCTCCCAAAGTGCTGGTATTACAGGCATGAGTCACCGCGCCTGGCCTATCTTAATATTCTTTACTGTTGTTTCATACTTAATTGATTTCTACCACGGCATAACAAGAAATACATATTTGGTTTCTGCCTCTGGTTTCTAGTATGCAGCTGCTTAAACCCTTAGATACTCTAGAGTGATAAGAGTCTTTTGTATGCTAACAACAGGTATAGCTGGGGGCTTCTAGGTAGCTTCCGGATGGTCACTGGTTGCCCAGCACGATTATAGAGTTAGAACTTTTCAGCCCCACTCCTGGAGGGAGGGGAGAAGGACTGGAGATTGAGCTAATCACCAGGGATCAATGATTTAATAAGTCATGGCTATATAATGAGATCTCCCTAAAAACCCTAAACAACAAGGTTCAGAGAGCTTCTGGGCTAATGACTCCCTCAAGGTGCTGGGAGGGTGGCGTATCCAAAGAGGTGGAAGCTCTGCACTCCTTCCCCCATCCTGTGTCCTGTGTGTCTCTTCCATTTGGCTGTTCCTTTATAAGAAAACAGTAATAGCAAGTAAAGTGCCTTCCTGAGTTCCGGCAGCCATTCTAGCAAAGCTGAGGAGGGGTTCTTGGGAACCCCCAGGGTATAACCACTTGGTCAGAAATGCAATGGAAATCTGGGATTTGGAACTGGTGTTTCAAGTGGGACAGTCTTGTGGGACTGAGCCCTTAACCTGTGGAGTGTGCACTAAAGAATTGAATTATCAGACATGTAATTAGTGTCAGAATTGGTCGTTGGTGTGGAAAACCCACACAGTTGGTGTCAGTAATGTGACTGGAACAGCTCACTCTCACCTTTTTGTTCTACTTGTTTTATGTGGGTTTGCTCTGTAGCTCATTTTCACCTTCTGAAATGCACACTAAGTGCATTGGTTTTGTCTCTGTTTCATTAAAAAATTTATTTAAAGTTAAAAATTACCCACAAGATCTACTTTAGCTGTGTCTCTCAAATTGTGACTGAAGTATTTCATAATCACAGAAGCACATTTTTCCCATTTTAGCGTCTGTGAAATTGAGATGCATCTTTTAGTCAAGATGGCGTATCCTGTTTCAATCAGCACTGTTTTCCTTTCTCAGTTGTGTATGAAATTATGGTGTTTCCTAGAAACATTGGCATCTTCAATGCATTGAAATATCATATGGTGTTTGCATTCTTTTAGCTCTAAGTATTTCATAATTTCCCCCCCCCTTTTTTTTAGCTCAATCCTTTCTAGTAATATGCCATTTAGTTTTCAGATGAGAGGTGTTTCTAGCTATCCTTTTGTTATTAATGTCTGATTTTGGCCGAGCGTGGTAGCTCATGCCTGTAATCCCAGCACTTTGGGAGACCAGTGCAGGTGAATCACAAGGCCAGGAGATCAGGACCATCCTGGCTAACACAGTGAAACCCCATCTCTATTAAAAAAATAATAATACAAAAAAAGAAAAAAAAATACAAAAAATAGCCTGGGCGTGGTGGCAGGTGCCTGTACTCTCAGCCACTTGGGAGGCAGAGGCAAGAGAATCGCTTAAACCTGGGAGGTGGAGGTTCCAGTGCGTCAAGATTGTTCCACTGGACTACGGAGTGAGACTTCGTCTCAAAAAAAAAAAAAAAGGTCTGATTTTCATACGTTAAGGTCAGAGAATACAGTCTGTAGGTCATTTTTCAGGAATTTATTAGGGCTTCTGTCTTCAGGCTTTTTTTTTTTTTTTTTTGAGACAGAGTCTCCCTCTATTCGCACTCACTTCAGCCTCTGTCTCCTGGGCTCAATGGATTCTCCTGCCTCAGCCTCCTAAGTAGCTGGGATTACAGGTGTATACCACCACACCCAGCTAGTTTTTATAGTTTTAGTAGAGTTTCACCATGTTGGTCAGGCCAGTCTCGAACTCCTGACCTCAGGTAATGCACCCTCCTTTGCCTCCCAAAGTGCTGGTATTATAGGCGTGAGCCACCGCTCTCCCCCACCCCCCTGCCCCTGGCCTGTCTTCAGGCTTTTTAAAGGTGTCTCTTGTAAACACTCAGAAACACACAGTGCCCCCTCCTGGCCACTCTGTATCTGTCATGGCTAAAAGCTGTACTCGCAGAAAATCACACAGATGTAGGTGTGAACCCAGTTCCACTCCTCATTTGCTCTTAACCTTCATCCAGTATCTTTCTTCCGAGCTTCCATTTCTCAGTGGGAAAAGTGGGGTGAGAGCATCTTCCTTGAGAACCCTTCAGGGCTGAGATGAACTAGTGGATGTGCCTGGCACGTGGGGACAGCTGGGGAACACTGAGTCTGACCTGACTGGAATACGCTGTCAAAAAGGAGCAGAGACTCCAGGACCTCCCTCTCTGCCTTCCCTTCTGTTGACAAAGCTGGGAGCCTTGACTCAGTTTGTCTTCCAGGGCTCTGGAGAAGAGCAGCAATTAGCAGAATACTCTTGAAAGTGTCAGGAAGGTACAAGGTTAAAAGCCCCATTTGTAATCCAGAGCATGCGCGAGGATGCGGGACACGCAGAGTATGAAGCCCTCCTTTGCTTTTGTAGAATGCAGAGAGCAGTCTGCAACAGAAGAATGAAGCCATCACTTCCTTTGAGGGAAAAACCAACCAAGTGATGTCCAGCATGAAACAAATGGAAGAGAGGTAATTACCCCCCACTGACAGATGTTTTCTGGAAGGTGCTGAGCATTCCCTGGGCCTAGAGACTTATTCAGAGTCCCTCTCAAAAGTGCAGTGTTAATGGGATGACTGTCCTTCAGGCCATAGTCTTGCCCAACAAGAGGACTAGGTTCAGCAGCCTTGCCTAACTTTTTTTTTTTTTTTTTTTTGAGACACAGTCTTACTCTGTTGCCCAGGCTGGAGTGCAGTGGCATGATCTTGGCTCACTGCAACCTCCACGTCCCGGGTTCAAGCCATTCTCTTGCTTCAGCCTCCCGAGTATCTGGAATTACAGGCTGGAGCCACCGCCCTCAGCGTTGCCTAGCTTTTAATCAACCTTTTGGCTACTTCATCAGATTCTCCTATTGGTGCATTAGAACTCTACTATGAACTCCTTGACACTATCACATTTAAATACCAGGTCAGCCATGGATCAGTATAAAGTTTAAAAAAAGACCCAGACAAATAAGACCAACTTCTTTTTACAAAGTTCCCGAGGCAGTTCAGTGGAGAAAGGATAATCTTGTCAATAAATGATGTCAATAAATGATGTTGGGTGCTGGGCACAGTGGCTCATGCCTGTAACTCCAACACTTTGGGAGGTTGAGGTGGGGGGATCACTGGAGGCCAGGAATCCAAGACCAGCCTGGGCAGCAGAAGGAGATGCTGTCTTAAAAAAAAAAAAAATTATGTTGGAGCAATTAGCTATTCCATATGCCGGAAAATGAAACTTGGCCAGGTGCAGTGGCTCACACCTGTAATCCCAGCACTTTGGGAAGCCGAGGGGGTGGATCACAAGGTCAGGAGTTCAAAACCAGCCTGACCAGCAAACATAGTGAAACCTCATCTCTACTAAAAATACAAAAAAAAATTAGCCAGGTGTGGTGGCACATGCCTGTAGTCCCAGCTACTCGGGAGGCTGAGGCAGAAGAATTGTTTGAACCTGGGAGGTGGAGGTTACCGTGAGTTGAGATGGTGCCAATTGCACTCCATCCTGGGCAACAGAGCAAGACTCTGTCTCAAAAATAAGAAAAAGAGAAAGGAGCCACACAATCCTACCACACACCTGTTAGAACAGCTACGGTTTCTTTAATGACAATACCACGTGCCAGTGAGGACACAGAACAAATGGGTCTCTCATACATTATTGGTGGGAATGCAAAATGGTGCAACCACTTAGGAAAACAGTTTCTCAAAAAGCTGAACATCCTCTTACGATATGATCCAAATAGAAATGAAACTTAAGTCTACACTAAAACCAGTATACATGTTTATAGCAGCTCTGTTCACTACCACCAAATACTAGAAGCAGTTACAATGTTCTGCTCTAGGTGAGTGGATAAACAAACTGGCACATCTGTGCAGTGAAATACAGCTCAGCCATAAAAAGGAATGAACGGGAGAAAAAAGGAATGAACCATTAATGCACATGGAAACTTGAATTGATCTCAAAGACATTATTCTGAGAAAAAGCCAGTCTCAAGGTTATATAAAGTATAATTACATTTATACATTCTCAAAAAGCCAAAGCCTTATTGTTGCAGAACAGATGAGTGGTTGCCAGGGGCTGAGGTGGGAGACTGTGTGACTCCAGAGGGGCAGCACTTGGGAGTTTTGGGAGTGGTGGAACTGTTCTGTTTCCTGATTGTGGTGGAGCTGAATCTCCACGTGTTAAACTCACAAGAGTTAATTTTACTGTGTGTTAATTTTTAAAAGAAGTTCAGCCAGCAAAGGTATGCAAAAGTCATCCTTTCCTTACAAGATTTGCTTCATTTGTGCTCTTCTTGCTGGTGTTGCATCCAGGTTGCAGCACTCAGAGCGGGCAAGGCAGGGGGCCGAGGAGCGGAGCCACAAGCTGCAGCAGGAGCTCGGCGGGAGGATTGGCGCCCTGCAGCTGCAGCTCTCCCAGCTGCATGAGCAATGGTAGGGGCCTTGCAGCAAGCCTAGGCTGGGGCGTGGCTCAGGAGGGACTGGGAAGAATTAGGGGCAGGTAGTATCCTGCTTCAGCATTCACCCCTGCAGGTTTAGTGTGTTATTCCTAGGGAGCTCCCTCCTCACAGGGCTCTTCACATGGTCGCACTAGCCTCCAGGAGGTCTGGCCACTCTCAGACCATGGTCCCAGGTTGTAGCCTTTAACTTCCTTGACCAGCCCTTTCCAAAAAAACAACTTTGTCAGTGTAGAGCAGAAAGCCACCTTTCACCTAGCCTTTGCTGATGCAGGCTTCATATAATTTTATGCACAGTTTGTCTATAGATTTTTTTAACAGTCTCACTCTGTCTTCCAGGCTGGAGTGCAGTGGTGCAGTCTGTGCCTCAGCCTCACGAGTAGCTAGGCCTACGGGTGCAAACCAAAACACCCGGCTAGTTTTTGTATTTTTAGTAGAGACAGGCTTTTGCCATGTTGGCCAGGCTGGTTTCAATCTTCTGGCCTCAAGTGATCCACCCATCTTGGCCTCCCAAACTGCTAGGTTACAGGTGTGAGCCACCATTCCTGGCCTGTAGATTTTTTGAGATGGTATAAATGCCAAGCTAAAAGCCTAATGTTGAGAGAAGAGATAGAGCCATCTTTATTTGCACAAAGAGAGAGAAGACTCCAGGGGGTCCAGCAGTGCCCCCAGGGCCACCCAGCTGGTACAAGGGAGGAGTCAGGTTCAGGCTGAGGCTCACTCCTGGCCTCCCTCCAGGATCCTCCATTGTCAGCCTGGCTACAGGATATGGAAAGCAGAATGAGGCTGGATGCAGTGGCTGACACCTGTAATTCCAACACTTTGGGAGGCCAAGGCGGGAGGATCACAAGATGGGCAGATCACAAGGTCAGGAGTTTGACACCAGCCTGGCCAACATGATAAAACCTTGTCTCTACTGAAAATACAAAAAATTGGCCAGGCGCAGTGGCTCACGCCTGTAATCCCAGCACTTTGGGAGGCCGAGGCGGGTGGATCACAAGGTCAAGAGATCGAGACCATCCTGGTCAACATGGTGAAACCCTGTCTCTACTAAAAATACAAAAAAATAGCTGGGCATGGTGGCGCGTGCCTGTAATCCCAGCTACTCAGGAGGCTGAGGCAGGAGAATTGCCTGAACCCAGGAGGCAGGGGTTGTGGTGAGCCGAGATCACGCCATTGCATTCCAGCCAGGGTAACAAGAGCGAAACTCCGTCTCAAAAAAAATACAAAAAATTAGCCAGGCATGGTGGCAGGTGCTTGTAATCCCAGATACTCAGGAGGCTGAGGCAGGAGAATCACTTGAACCTGGGAGGGTTCAAGGATCTCTGCAAGGAGGGTTCAAGGATACAGTGTCCTTGCTCACCTGTGTGCAAAGGTTGCAGTGAGCCGAGATCACGCCACTACACTCCAGCCTGGGCAACAGAACAAGACTCCACCTCAAAAAAAGGAAAAACGAAGAAAGCAGAATTGGCCAGAATGGAGTGGCTAATGCCTGTAATCACTGTACCTTGGGTAGCCAGGGCGGGAGGATCAGCTGAGCCCAGGAGGTTGAGGCTGCAGTGAGCTAAGGTTGTGCCACTGCTCTCCAGCTGGGGTGACAGAGCTAGACCGTGTCTCAAAAAAAAGAACAAATTTTGGACTTCCTTTCTTCAGATCTCTATGTCAGGGGAGATTCTGCCTATGTGGTCCTAAGTGTTCTAGAGCTCTTTCTTCTCTCCTGTGTAAGTGTCCAGTGTGTCCCTGCAGGCTTTTCTCTCCCTGGTTTCTGCTCTTTTTTGTGGAAGGGTAGGTGACCCTGGGGGAGAGGGAAGCCTTGCCAAAGGGTTTAGATGCTCAAGTGCCAATTCTGCGAGTTCTCCATTTCCTGGGCAGTGAATTGGGTTGTGGATCTTCCATGAAAATCTCCCACTGGGACTAACTCAAGTTCATTTTGGGAAAACAGCTCAAGCCTAGAGAAAGAATTGAAATCAGAAAAAGAGCAAAGACAAGCTCTTCAGCGTGAATTACAGCACGAGAAAGACACTTCCTCTCTACTCAGAACAGAGCTACAGCAAGTGGAAGGATTGCAAAAGGTGAGGTGGGCCAGCCTGGGAGAGGAGAGCCTCCAGCAGCCCCAGAAGCCCCTCCCGTGCTCCTGGCAGGCTCCTCTCCCTGCTCCTCTCCCTTTGTGTGGGAGCCAGGCAGCTCCGGGGTGTGGGGAGGCTGTTCCCCGCCTAGGGAGCTCCTGTTTTAGGAGCTTAAGGCAAAGACAAAGCATAAGCCACTAAGCCTGCTGGCCAGCTCAGGTAAAGGTGAGTGCCATGAAGAGAATAAAGCAGAACAGTGTCCTCAGTGGCCTGTGTGCAGAGAGGTCTGGGGAGGGAGTGATCGGTGAGCAGAGGCTCCAGTGAGTGATGCCCTGCAAAGCACCTCTGGGGCAGAGACTGCAGGAGCAGACAGGAGTGTGAGGAGCAAAGGGGAGGCCTCAGGCGGCAGGCAGGAGGGAGCCCTTCATGGGCCCTGTGAGCAGGGGAAGGAATGTGAGTTTTATTCTGAGCATGGTGGGAAGTTGGTGGAGGGACAGGATCCATTTCATTCGCGGACAGTCATTGGCTACTGTGTGGAGAGTGGGTGGTAGGCTTGCAGGAGAGGAAGCTGGGAAGAACCAGTAAACATCTTCGACCACATGCCAGTTCTCACCTCAGCCACTCTGCCCAGGGTCAGGTCATCCCTGGGAAGCAGACTGACGCGCCCTCCACTTCTTCAACTGCACCTCAGTCCCCTGGAACACCCTCTCACTTAGAGGCATGGCCTGGATGCTGTGGGCTTCAGAGGGCGAGAGAAGTAGGGTCCAGCAGGCCTTCACTGTCTGGCTGTGGAGCTAGACCTCCCAGGAAACTCCGAGGCAGTGTGAAACATTTGCCCTAATATAAAATCATCAGCTGTCTTTCCAGAGGGGAGGAGGCTCTGCGATCCTGGACAGAGATGACTGCAGCCTGGGGTGCTATGGGGGGCTCCTCCCTTGTGGGAATGGGGTGCCCTCTTCTCAGGCCCCTGCACTGCTGAGTGCTGCAGCACAACCGAGCCCAAAGTGGGCTTCTCTCAGCACCTTCCCAGGAGGGGCCTACAGGGCTGGGATAACTTCTGGACCTGGATTTTGTTGCATTGAACATGGTAATGGACACCACTGCACAAGTCGAGTGAGTCAGGAAAGGCCCTTTTGATTTCTAGTGGAAAGTGCCTGGAGTTGTTGGGGATAGGGAGAGCTTCCTCAAGAGCCAGGTCAGGCTTGGAGAGTGAAAGGGAGGAAGAGGAGGGCAGAAGAGGACTTTCAGGAAGTTCTGCCTCATCCCAGGGCATACCTCCTTTATTCTGCTTCAGAATGCTTCAGTCAAAAGATTCGAATTACACAATTACAGCCTGCCCCAACAACAGGGACAGAACAATGTCTAATATCGCCGGTGAAGCCCCAGCGTGCCTCACGAGCGTGTGCACAGAAGCAGAAGCTGCGGCACGGGGTGTGCAGGGAGCCACCCACTGCTCAGGCCTAAGCTCCACCGTTGCTCTCCATGGTCCCAGAAACCCCCGTTACTTTCTGGGTCTCCGTCCTGGCCTTACCAGCCTGGCTAAAGGTGTTCTGACCCCAGGTGTCAGTGCCATTGTCCCTGGGGAGCTCCCTCCCTGCAGGGCTCCTCACATGGTTCCAGCCAGCCTCTGGGTGTTCTAGCCATGAAATGAGGCCCAGATCACCCTCTTCATCACCCTTGACTCTCAAAAAAGCAGCTTTTTGAGAGTTGAACAGAAAACCACCTTTCAAACTAGTCTTTGCTGATGCAAGTTTCCTGTAATTTTGTGTAGGGTTTTTCTATAGATTTTTTGAGATAGCGATCTGTTTTGTTAAAAGTTTATCTTTTGAAAAGAAGCTCAAATAGGCAAAGCCTCATTTGTCCTGTGAGGGTAACTTCTTTTTTTTCTTTTTTTTTTTGAGATGGAGTCTTGCTCTGTCACCCAGGCTGGAGTATAGTGGTACAATCTCAGCTCACTGCAACCTTCACCTCCCCAGTTCAAGCGGTTCTCGTGCCGCCGCCTCCCAAGTAGCTGGGATTACAGGCATGTGCCACCATTCCCTGCTAATTTTTCTATTTTTAGTAGAGGAGGGGTTTCGCCATGTTGGCCAGGCTGGTCTTGAACACCTGACCTCAGGTGATCTACCCACCTCAGAGTCCCACAGTGCTGATATTATAGCCGTTCAAACCACCGCGCCCTGCCGAGGGTAACTTTTTTTTTGGAGTCTACGCTGTTGCCCAGGCTAGAGTGCAGTGGCATGATCTTGGCTCACTGCAACCTCTGCCTCCTGGGTTCAAGCAATTTTCCTGCCTCAGCCTCCTGAGTAGCTGGGGTAACTGACATGTGCTACCCCACCCAGCTAATTTTTTTGTATTTTTAGTAGAAATGGGGTTTCACCATGTTGTTGGCCAGGCTGGTCTTGAACTCCTGACCTCAAGTGATCCACCTGCCTCAGCCTCCCAAAGTGCTGGGATGATAGGCGTGAGCCACCACATTCAGCTACTCAGGAGGCTGAAGCAGGAGAATTGCTTGAACCCAGGAGGCGGAGATTGCAGTGAGCCGAGATTGCACCACTGCACTACGGCTTGGGCAACAATGCAAGACTCCGTCAAAAAAAAAAAACAACCTTGTAATCCTCTGTCCAGCAGCATCTGGTTGGTTTGTTCATTTTAGGAGTTGCAGGAGCTTCAGGACGAGAAGGCAGAGCTGCAGAAGATCTGTGAGGAGCAGGAACAAGCCCTCCAGGAAATGGGCCTGCACCTCAGCCAGTAAGAACCCCACTCCCCTCATCTGCCACTGCAGGCACACCAGGCCACCCACCACATCCCTCAGGCCCCAAACCTACCTCCTTTTGGCAAAAGGAGGGTGGGCTGTTTAGGAGCCCTATCCACCGTTCACCGATGAGCTTTCAGCAAGCTAAGCCTCAGAGGGACCCAGCACTGATTTCTGCTAACCACATGGGGATGTTAGTGAGCTCTTAGTTAATTCATTGAGCACATTCATTCCTAGTGACCAGGACACTCCTGTTCCTTAGCTTCATATCCAGGGCCTTAGGGAACAGATAGGCAATGAGAGCGTTGCTTGATCGGCCTACAGTCAGGCCAGAGGGTGCATGGCTTGTTTGAAAATGGAAGCCTGGCATGGTGGTGGTTCACTCACCGGCCTTGCACAGCATAGCACAGCCCCCTTCCTTTCTGGGAACTGGCCATTGCATCTGCCAGAGTCTGTCTGTCTGCTGCCAGTGCTGGTAGTTCTGCTCCCCTCTGACTTAACAGCTCTCCTCCCTGATGTCCCAGTCTGGACACATTGCTGGGGATACCTGGGCTTTGGGGTAGATCACACTGCAGATGGTAGAACTTGTCCATTTGTGTGATGGTTGCATTTTCAACAGAATGGGTGGCTTTTTCTCCTCGAGTCAGGACTCATGGTTGCAAGTAACAGAAATCCAACTCAAAGTGGCTTAAGCAAAAGAAGCCATCAGGAATCAGTCTCTGTCTCCTACCTCTGCTGTCCCTGTCTACCTCACAGGTGGGTCTGGATCGTGCAGGGGCAAAACAGCACCCAGCAGGGCCATCTATCAGAGGAACAAAGTCTCTCTTTCTGCATAGCTCCCAAGATGACCTGAGGTTGACTTTCTGCTCCCCCAGTACCTGTGTCTGACATAAGCACCGTGACCAAGGAGATGGCCTCACGACCTCAGCACAGCCTGGGCTCAGGTCCAGCACTGCATACATGTGACCAGAAAAGGTCCACACATGGAGACCAAAATGAGAATCAACTTGAAACATACGAGTGTATAGACATGTGCAGCCTTAGAATTTTTCTCACAGTTTAGAAATTCGGAGAGTCTAGTACTATTAAGAAAATGGGCTGGGCACAGTTGCTCACACCTGTAATCCCAGCACTTTGGGAGGCCAAGGTGGGCGGATCACAAGGTCAGTGGTTCCAAGACCAGCTGGCCAACATGGTGAAAACCCCATCTCTACTAAAAATACAAAAATTAGCTGGGTGTGGTGGCACGCACCTGTAATCCTAGCTACTCGGGAGGCTGAGGCAGAGGTTGCAGTGAGCCGAGATCGAGCCACTGCACTCCAGCCTAAGCAACACAGCGAGACTCTGTCTCAAAAAAAAAATAAGAAAGAAAATAGGCCGGGCACAGTGGCTCACGCCTATAATCCCAGCACTTTGGGAGGCTGAGGCAGACAGATCACCTGAGATCAGGAGTTCAAGACCAGTGTGGCCAACGTGGTGAAACCCTGTCTTTACTAAAATTACAAAAATTAGCCAGGTGTGGTGGCGGGCGCCTGTAATCCCAGCTACTCGGGAGGCTGAGACGTGAGTATGGCTTGAACCTGGGAGACAGGTTGCAGTGAGTCAAGATTGTGCCACTGCATTCCAGCCTGGGTGACAAAAGCGAGATTACTTCTCAGAAAAAAAAAATAGCTGGGTAAGGAATCTGATATCTCTGGTGGGAATGTGGTCTGCCCACTCCCAGATATAGGTGTTGCCCACTCGCCATCACTCCTACACCCCCTACCTTTCTAGACCAGCTCATGGCCGCTGCCCCCTCCCCTCCCACCCTCTACCCTGCCCGCTGCCCACTTGACTGAGTGCCCTGTGCAGCAGCTCTCTTCTGGCCTGTCAACTTGCCATGCTGTGGCCCCTGCCCTCCCCAACCCCCAAGGAACTCCTTGAGCAGAGCAAGGCCCAGTGTATATCCCAATCCTCAGAGTGTAGGCCAGCTCTGAGCACATCCCAAGAGCACTCACCAGAAGCAGACATGGAACACAGGCTGGCGTGGAGCTGGCTTCTAGAGGTTGCAGCCAGTGTTTTCCTCTTTACATTAGATGGACAGCAAGGCAGCGTCAACAGGTCCACTCCTAGTGGACCACAGACCTCGAAACTGTGGATGGTCTCTAATCTTTAAAATACATCATTGCCCTTTGTGTCTGCCTGGTGCCACGAGCTCACCTAGTTTCCAAATCCCAGTGTGAGCTGCCTGGCCACTGTTCCCTCACAGCAAGTGCTGTGGGTGTCACATCGTCAGGTGTATGCAAACCTAGAAAGGACTGCCTGAGGAGTTGCTTTTGTGCTCTCCCCTTTTCCCTTCTTCTTCTTCCAAGCCTATATCAGTTGACAGAGATGGCAAAGCCTCTTCGCAAACCCCTACATTAGCTACAGGAAAATTTTCCATTTTCATTATCTTGGGAACATCTGGATTCTTCCTAAATTGTGTTACCCGGAGTTCTTGTATGTTCAGTTTGCCATCTTGACATAGCTTCCCAAGGTCTGACCATCTGGGCAGACTCTTCTGATCCTGTCCATCTGCTGGCCTGTTTCCTGTTTCTGCAGCCAGACCAGGAAGGGAAGGAGCTGCCTCTCAGTCATTAGTAAAAGCCACAGGGTTTTTTCTAAATGCCTTAATGCTGTTTCCTAATCCCTCCCTTAGAAGTCTAGCCTGTGTTTCCCAGAGAACTGGCATTTTGTCACTTAGTCTACTCTGATAATAGTTCAGACTAATCTCAGTTTTGTTTGTTTTTTGAGGCAGAATCTTGCTCTGTTGCCCAGGCTGGAGTGCAGTGGCACAATCTTGGCTCACTGCAACCTCTGCCTCCCAGGTTCAAGTGATCTGCCTGCCTCAGCCCCTCTATTAGCTAGGATTACAGGCATGTGCCACACTGCCTGGCTTATTTTTATATTTTTAGTAGAGACAGGATTTCACCATGTTGGCCAGGCTGGTCTCAAACTCCTGACCTCAGGTGATCCACCCTCCTCAGCCTCCCAAAGTGCTGGGATTACAGGTGTGAGCCACTGCACCCGGCCAGTCTCCCGTTTTTAAGAAAGACTTAGGCCAGGCTGGGCGCATTGGCTCACACCTGTAATCCCAGCACTTTGGGAGGTCGAGGCGGGTGGATCTACTAAAAATACAAAAATGTGGCAGGTGGCTGTAATCCCAGCAACTCAGGAGGCTGAGGCAGAGAATTGCACGAACCCAGGAAATGGAGGTTCCAGTGAGCCGAAATCCTGCATTGAGCCTGGGTGAAAGAGAGACACTCCTTTGCAAAAACAAAAACAAAAAACTAAAAGAAAGGGCCGGGCACGGTGGCTCACCCCTGTAATCCCAGCACTTTGGGAGGCTGAGGCAGGCGGATCATGAGGTCAAGAGTTTGAGACCAGCCTGACCAACATGGTGAAATCCCTTCTCTACTGAGAATCCAAAAATTAGCTGGGCGTGATGGCGCATGCCAGTAGTCCCAGCTACTCAGGAGGCTGAGGCAGGAGAATCGCTTGAACCCAGGAGGTAGAGGTTGCAGTGAGCTGAAATTGCGCCACTGCATCCCAGCCTGGGTGACAGAGCAAGATTCTCTCTCAGGGAAAAAAAAAAAGTACAAGAAAATTACCTGGGATGACAGGTGGTGGGCACCTGTCATCCCAGCTTCTTGGGAAGCTGAGGCAGGATAATTGCTTGAACCCAGGAAGCGGAGGTTTGCAGTGAGCTGAGATCACGCCACTGCACTCCAGCCTGGGCAACTCAGCAAGCTGGGCATGATGGCTCGTACCTTTAGTCCCAGCTACTTGGAAGGCTGAAGTGGGAGGATCGCTTGAACCCAGGAGGCCAAGACTACAGTGACCTGTGATTGCACCACTGCATTCCAGCATGGGCAATAGAGCAAGATCCTGTCTCCAAAAAAACCAGAATTAGACTGTTTCCCCAAATTGCACAAACTGCTCATTTTATTTGCCTTAGTTCTGCCAATTTAGACCATGTTCAGCCCTCTTACAGAAAAAAGGAATTGTTGTTCTGATGCTAACAAGAATGGAGCAAGAACAAATGGCTGTGCCCTCTGAGCCTGCCCCTTCCAGGCAGCAGGCAGCAGAATGGAGGCCAGGGAGAAGCCTGCAGACTCAGGTTCCTGCTGTGGAGAGCAGTAGAGACTAGTGCAGAACAGGGCCAGGCCTTGGACTTCTGGCCTTAGGCGAACCTCTTGCCTCAGCCTCCCTCAAAATCTTTCACCCGCTGCAGGCTAAGCAGTATGTTTTTGTGCCAGTTGCAGCCCCCAGCCTCGGCCTCGGCCCTCAGTAGACATGGAGGCCAGTGTGATGAGGCAACTCTGGGATTGTACAAAGGCAGAAGGCATTTTAGAACATCTCATATTCTGGGTCTCCTCACAAGTCCGTTATCCTCATGGAGCTAGTCATGAGTACTGGCTGTGTTAGGGATTCAGGGCCTCGCTCTCTCGGCTATGATATGGCCTTTTTTCCCTTAGGTCCAAGCTGAAGATGGAAGACATAAAAGAAGTGAACCAGGCACTGAAGGTACTGGCTTGCTAAGAACCACCTCACTGTCAGCTTGCACTGATTGCCTATGTGCTTGTACATTTAAGCATCCCAACAGTCAGGTGAGAGTGTGTGGTTGAGGCAGTGGTGGTGATGACATATTTATAGAGAAGCCAAACGCTGCTCAGAAATGTGTCCCTCAGCTGAGAGGACAATGATGACTGGTGGCAGGGCCAAAGCTGAACCTAGGTCTTCTGACTGCAGTTCTTCCGCCATGAGCTGTGCTTTGACAATAAGCCTAATGGGTATTCCTAAAGGGAAGCAGGTGGCAGGGAGGAGAGACCCTCTCTCGCAGTTGTCTTTAAACAGTGGAAACCAGGCCCTTCTGTTGAAGTCAGAGGCCAGAGGTCAGCAAGCCCCACTGCAGTGCCCTGTGCCATTGCTAGGAACCACTCAAGCCAAACCCTGAGCTGGGCCAGGTTTCCACACCATTTTGAGGAGGGCGGAATGACACATTCCACTGAAGAGCAGGAGCTTGCAGGTGGCCCAGTGCGCGTGCAGGTGCCAGGCTGACCTGTAGGGCAGAGAGCTTGGGAGAGGAGGCAGACATTTGGGGGCAGAGCAGCCTGGCTTTCAGAATGGCCTTGCCTGTAGGAGCATCTGTCCTTTCGCCTCAGCTGTGCCTGGCAGCAGTGCAAAAGCAGTCCTTTTCCACATGGCACTCTTCCACCTGGTGCACAGCAGGGACCCTAATATCTCTGGGCGTCTAACAGCAGCCTGAACTTCTAGGTAACATCAGTTTCACAGCATCAGAGGGCGGATAAGAATCATAAAACAGGATTCTAGAGCTCCCAAAGCTCTTTGACATGAGGATGAACATCCTGGGTACACACTGGCAGCCTCGGGTGTGCGACTCTAGTTCAGTCATGAGGATCTGTTTGTCAGCAAGAAAATCACTTCCAGCAGATGCAAACAGGCCAGAAAAAGTACCTCATGCTCCTGGAGCACCCCTGTCCCTAAGGCTGAATAAATCATAGGTGCTGCTTCTCCCTGATAAAGCCCGCCTAAGAGCCACCTTTCAAAGCCTCAGCCGCCTCCCCTGTGGAATAGAATCCATCTGCTTCCCAGGGCTGTTCGGGGATAGGGCTTTGGCCCGTATGGAGAAGGGCTTCCTCAGGCCCATGGGACATGGTGCCTGCTGTCCATTGCCTTCTGTCTCTCCACAGGGATCAGCGTCACCAAGTGTCCTAATCTTACTCAGATTTGGCCCTTCTCCCACACCTGCCAGTCCAGCTAGTCACTTCGGGCAGTGTCTCAGGCAGGGTCTGGGGTTGCAGGCACCAGAAGCTCACTCTACTTACTTCAATCAAAGGGAACTGATTGAAAGTGGGGGTGCACCTGAGTGAGTGGATGCTGGAGACTGCCTTGAGGCCCCGGGGCAGCTTGCAGAGCCCAGGAGGCGGAGCACAGAGCTAGGACACGGGACTCCAGCTTCAGCCCAACCAGGGAAGGGCCCTTCATGACAGTCCTGTGAGACCACATCTGATGGTGAAGAAACAGTGCCTCATTAGGAAACGAGTGCTATGAGGGACAATGGATGCAGCCAGAACACAGCTACTCACTCACCAGGGGCTTAGACAGAAAGTGGATTCTAGAATGTCCTTTTCTCTTCAGGGCCATGCCTGGCTGAAAGATGACGAAGCGACACACTGTAGGCAGTGTGAGAAGGAGTTCTCCATTTCCCGGAGGAAGGTATGTAGGATTCCACCCACCCTCCCAGTGCCCCGAGTCATTCATTGCCTGCTGGGATTCCCCTTTCTCTGGTTCCAGAAGCCTGCATCAGACCAGGCTCACTGCCCCATGACTGTGCTCACTGGTTGGCAGATGGGCAGCCCCACCTGTCCTGCTTGCCCATGCAGATGGCTTTCTATCCTGGCACCCTTTTTCTAGGAGGCCCTGGCCAGTCATAGGCCCCTGATCCCCAGCACATCCATTCAGTGACTGACAGTGATTTGGTGGGAGATGGGGCTCCTTGAGTGCAGAGCTGCTCTAGAGGAGTGTCACTGAAAATTCTCTGTAGGCGGCAGGACCAAAATCTGGCCAACTGAGGCAAAAACAGTATCTATGGGGAATCTGCAGGGCAGCAGGTCACCAAAAATTGACTGGTGATCTAGGCAGGGTGCTTGCCCCTGCCTTTTAGGTTCTGGCAACAAGATCAGTCACCCTTGGGTCCAGGGTTAACAGTCTCGCCAAGACCAGCTGGGCAGGGGAAGAGTTGGGTTTAAGCAAAACTGAGAGCTAAAGGAAACACTTCCAGTGCCACCCCCCTTTCCTGCCACATCCATGTTTTGTCTGGTCCCATTAACGGCCTAGCTCTGTGGAAAAGAGGAAGCCACAGCTCCCCGTTTCAGGCAGTGCCTCGTAGTAAGCTCAGAGCTACGAACCACATCCTGAGGCTGCCTTTGAGATCACATGTGCTGCTCCTATGGAGCCACAGGAGCAGAGGCTGCACAGGTGCTCATCTCAGTGTCTTATTAGGCACCCAGGAAACCTGTTTAGAAAGCCAAAGACCCACTCCCACCACCTTGGAATGCAGCAATCAGAGAATGAACCAGACTCTTACTGTAACATGGACTAGCAGCTCACTGGCTTAGTGATGAAGTACAGCAAAAGTCAATTTTTTGTCTTAAAAAGATCCCTATTTGCACACATCCCCTCACCACTCCATAGAAACATGAGAATCCATTCCAAACAAATGATGCACTTCTGCGTTAGGAAGCAGGGAGGGTGTGCAGATGGCTTTTCCTTGGGTGTCCCGTGACTGCCTTTTTCCTGTTCTCTAGCACCACTGCCGGAACTGTGGCCACATTTTCTGCAACACCTGCTCCAGCAACGAGCTGGCCCTGCCCTCCTACCCCAAGCCAGTGCGGGTGTGTGACAGTTGCCACACCCTGCTCCTGCAGCGCTGCTCCTCCACAGCCTCCTGAGCGTCCATCCTTGGGAGCACAGCCTCAGATAGTGCCAAACTCTGTGGGTCTCCAGGAGCTTGGGAATTGTATGCATTCCCGAGAATCAAAGGAAAGAATCAAATTCTTGCCTGGCCACTCCAGAAGATAGCATGCCGGAACCAGCAGCTCTCACCTTTCTGTGATTTATACAGAATTAATTCCTCTGGATGGAAACTTCTATCTTACTTGGTTATATCATGGCTCTGGTTCAGATATAACTTCATGACTTTGCTACTATCACTTTTCAAAGAATTTAACCTATTTTGCAGTTCAGTTCTGCTAAGGAGTAATCAATTTTCCTCTCCCACTTCCCTTCTAAAAACCTGATTGGTGCACGGTGTTTGACACACATGGGGGGTCTTGGCAGTGTGCCTTCTCTGCTTCAGTCAAGAGATCTGCCATTTCATGCCCTTGAGAATACCTATCATTGGCCCTACAATAAAATCATTTATTTTTCACTCTGGTACATGCAGAAGCTTGTGTCAACTTCTATCACACCCTCACCTGCAGCCTTGGAGCAGCCCCTCACGCAGAGGTCCAAGCCCAGTGTGAGCAGGAGGCTGCTGGTGCTGTCCCAGAGCCTGCAGGACTGTGCCTGGTGAGCCCAAAGCAATTTGCAGTGTCAGCCTGCCAGCAACTGGCAGAGGAAGTGACCCCTAAACCTGCTGACAAAGTCCAAGAGTAGTTCACGTATGTAATTGGGAGAGTGTGATTGGTGACAGAGACACCTGTGGAAAAGCATTTGCCAGGCAGCCACTCTGTTTTTGAGACAGTCTCGCTCAGTCACCCAGGTTGGAGTGCAGTGGAGTGATTTCAGCCTCAGCCTCCGAGTAGCTGGGATTACAATTACAGGTGCCCACCACCATGCCCAGCTTTTTTTTTTTTGTATTTTTAGTAGAGATGGGGTTTCACTGTGTTGACCGGGCTGGTCTGGAACTGCTGACCTTGTGATCCGCCCACCTCACTCAGCCTCCCAAGTGCTGGGATTACAGGTGTGAGCCATTAACATAGTGCTAGAACTGGCTTCCAGTCCCTCCCTCAGAGCCCTAACCTCACAGGAGCCAATGGCCTAGAGCTGTTAGGGTAGAGAGAATTGCATTGTCAAATACAACCAACCAACAATCTTCCAGGCCTCATCCTTATCCACCTTCTACAGCTAGTGCTCGACTTACGTCCACGATTGGTTCCGACAGACCAGTCATAACACGATTTGGTCGTAAGTTGAGTAGGCTATATGCACTCGGAGATGGTAGTGCTGCCGGAAGCTGGTCCGCACTGTCGTGTGCCCAGCTGGGCAACGTTTGCGCTACCAGACGCGGAGCAGTCGTGGCTAGTGATTGTGGTCATAAAGTTGAATGGTTGTTAAGTTGCATAGGTCGTAAGTCGACCAATACCTGTATATATACATCTTGCTCACCACCCTACCTTCACTTCCCACAGGCTCTCTACCCTCACTAAATCCAGGCCTCAGGCTCTCAGCCCTTTTTTTTTTTTTTTTTTTAATTGAAGAGATTGGGTCTCACTATGTTGCCCAGGTTTGAGTGCAGTGGCTTTTCACAGGCACAATCCCACTACTGATCAGCACGGGAGTTTTGACCTGTTCCATTTCCGACCTGGGCCTGTTCACACCTCCTTAGGCAATCTGGTGATCCCCTGTATACGAGTACAAATGGCTGCTGTCCAGGTGGCAAGAAGCATGTTTGGGAAAGGGGAAATCCTGACTCTAAACAAGTCTCAATTTTCGCCGGGCGCGGTGGCTCAAGCCTGTAATCCCAGCACTTTGGGAGGCCGAGGCGGGTGGATCACGAGGTCAAGAGATCGAGACCATCCTGGTCAACACGGTGAAACCCCGTCTCTACTAAAACTACAAAAAATTAGCTGGGCATGGTGGCGCGTGCCTGTAATCCCAGCTACTCAGGAGGCTGAGGCAGGAGAATTGCCTGAACCCGGGAGGCGGAGGTTGCGGTGAGCGGAGATCGCGCCTTTGCACCCCAGCGGGGAAAAAAAGCGAAACCCCCCCCCCCAAAAAAAAAAAAAAAAAAATGTCTCAATTTTCTCCGCAGTACCTTTACTAGACCAGGGATTGGAGGTTCCAAAGTTTAGTAAGGGTGGTAACCTTTACCCAGCCTGAGAAATGAGGGATATTCTACGGCAGTGCTTCCCATGTCGACTGAATTAGGGGTGAGTGGTCAGGGTTTTGTTTAAAAAGCAGATTCTGGGCGGCCACAGTGGCTCATGCCTGTGATCTCAACACTTTTAGGGAGGCCAAGGTGGGTGGATCCCCTGAGATCAGGAGTTTGCGACAAGCCTGGCCAATGATGAAACCCTGTCTCTACTAAAAATACCAAAAAAATGAGCTGGGCCTGGCAGCAGGCACTTGTAATCCCAGCTACTCAGGAGGCTGAGGCAGGACAACTGCTTGAACCCAAGAGGCGGAGGTTGCAATGAGCCAAGATTGCACCATGCACTCCAGCCTGGGCAACGAGCAAAACTCCATCTCAAAAAAAATAAAATGCAGATTCCAGCTGACAGGGTCAGGAGGTTGAGTCACTGCAGACAAGCTATGGAGCACAAGATTCCGAAGAACCATGTTTCTAGACTCCTTTCTGAGATGAAGTTTCGCTCTTGTTGCCCACCCCTCCAGAGTAGCTGGGATTACAGGCATATGCCACCACACCCAGTTTATTTTGTATTTTTAGTAGAGACTGGGTTTCTCCATGTTGGTCAGGCTGGTCTCAAACTCCCAACCTCAGATAATCCACCCACCTCAGACTCCAAAATGCTGGAATTGGTATTACAGGTGTGAGACACCACATCCAGCTTTTTTTTTTGGACAGTTTCACTTGTCACCCAGACTAGAGTGCAGTGGCAAGATCTCAGCTCACTGCAACCTCCACCTCCCAGGTCCAAGCAATTCTCCTGCCTCAGTCTCCCAGTAGCTGAGATTATCAGTGTGCACCAAATCTCAGGTGATCCACCCACTTCAGCCTCCCAAAGTGTTGAGATTACAGGTGTCAGCCACTGTGCCTGGCCTAGACTCATTTCTTAAAAGCCATAGGGCTCTGGATTTAGCTTAACCTTACTGCAAGTTCCAACTTATTAGTCCCTTCTCTAACAGGGCAAGTTTTATCCCTAAATGTACCAGTTAACTAAAGGACCCAGATAAGGAACCTTCAAGCTTTCTCAACATTGGGCCTCAGTACCAAACTACATTAACCCAGTAAGATCTCAGGCACAGCACCAGGCTTAGAACACAGCTGAACAACTCTCAACACTGCCTACTCACTGAGAACTGCTGCTCTCTCTAGACATGCTTAGGACAAAACAATACATTCCAGACCTTTCCCTCCAGTGATTTCCAGTCCTATTAAGGCCCTCCCCATCCATGTCTCCTGCATGCGCTGCTTCTGTGGGCAGATGGTTAACAACCAGCACTAACCCCCACTCTGTCCACCCTACCTAGCCCTACCCCAAAAACAAACTCAAAAGCTTTTGTGTAAACCAAAGGAAAAGAGAAAACTTATCCACACTTTGCTTTAAAGGGCACAAGCCTGTTATGTGACAGCCTAGCTTGGACTCTACTTTCTAATTTCATTATCAGGGACTTGAATCTAAAGGGATGAAAGAGTAGTGGCAGTTCACAAACTGCAGTGCCCCTAAGCATTTACTGAAGGAACTCTGCAATCACACTTTTCAAGTTGCTTTAAAGCAACTTTAATACTTGCTAGCATAATGTTGGCACTCTGAACTACCACAACGGGGATACATTTGAAGGGTTCATTTAAACTAGTCATGTTTGCTCTCAATCACTACTATCATTCTACCTGAAAAGGTTTACATGCAATTTTGATCCCAAGTGGAACTGATTTTTAGAAATTAGCCAAAAATACAGTTTAAAACCTCGATTTGAAAACCATCTGTGAAGGCTGGGCATGATGGCTCATGCCTGTAATCCCAGCATTTTAGGAGGCCCCCTTAGGTCAGAGTTGGGAGACCAGCCTGGCGAAACCCCGTGTCTAAATTAAAAATACAAAAATTAGCCAAGTGTGTTGGCAGGCAGACACCTGTAACCCCAGCTACTTGAGAGGCTGAAACAATTGCTTAAGCCCAGGAGGTGGTGGTTGCAGTGAGCTAAGACTGCCACTGCAATCCAGTCTGAGATGATATTGAGACTACACCACAAATCTGTGAGCTAGCTCCTTCTAGAAGACACCCGCATATTCATCACACCTCCCTTGCCTCTGGCACTTCCCAGCCATGCACGAAGCCCTCCTAGACATGCAGGCCATGCAGTGAGGGCACAGGTGCCTCCCGTGCAAGTGCTTAACAAGTTATAGGCAGTTCAATCAGGTCCTGTGCAGCCAAATGACATACAGCCTCTTCCACAAGGGCCCCAAAGCTGAGTTTACCTTAAGTTGCACTGGAGGGAAGTCTGAAGACCTCTATACAACAGCCTCAGCTACCAAGCCTCTCTGCCACAGCCAGAAATGTAGCCCTAGTCCCCAGGTGGGCACAGAGCACCAAGACTCAGTCCACATGACACTGAAGCAAAGACAGTACAGTTTTTAAAAGGAGGATTTATTTGACAAGTTTCACTTAGCGCAATATACCTAAAAGGAAATCACAATACAATGAAAGATTTAAATCAAGGCCTCAGAATTTCATACAAACACCAAGACCAAAATCCTAAAGAACTGGTATTGCGTCTCAATTTTTTCCCATTAACTTAAAAAAAGCTTAAACTTACGTGCCTTACAGGTTATTAAATGAAACTAGAATTAACAAACATGCCAAAATGTTTCACTTTTAATTGTAGACACAGCTCCTATATTGAGTTTAAAAAAAAAAAAAAAAAAAAAAAAAAAAAATTTTTTTTAATATACATTTTAAAATTTTTTAATTTAATTTAAAAAAAAAAAAAAAAAAAAAAAAAAAAGCATGTCTTTCAACATGCATCTGAACAGTGTTCAATGCAAAGGGTAACACTTAACATAATTCAACTGCTTTTACCTAAATACGCTTACTGCTTAAGTATATCCTACAATATAACTAACTTGAGAAAAGCTGGAACTTGTTTAACAGTTATAGTTTACTCAGCTTCACTATTACATCCTAGGTTAAGTATTGTATTCCAAAATACTGAGCCTTAAGTCTTCATAACAATCCTGATTTCCACTCAGAGAGAAAGCATAAATCACAAGCTTGTATTGCAGAAACTGCTAAACTGAAGTTTTGTTTTTTTCTTTAAAAAAAGTTGACCAAGAGTCAGTGATCAGGATCAATCAATTACATTCCCCATCCACCACTCATACTGGACATGCTAGACATCCCTCCCATTCCGTTCACGCCCATAGATGCACGGCTTCCACTACTGTAGTAGCTGCTGTTCATTGCTCCTTGGCTACCTGCAAAGAGACCAATTTGACAAGTTAGGAGTAATGTCAGACTATCAGTCAAATAAAATATAGTATTCCAAGAAAAAGTTTAAAAAGTATACTAGTATAAATGGCTGCTGTCCAAGTGGCGAGAAGCATGTTTGGGAAAGGGGAATCCCGACTCCAAACAAGTCTCAATTAACCCCTTTTCTCTGCAGTACCAACTTGCCAGACTCTTGTGCTACCATTTTTAACGAAATTCTTCAGAATCAACGTGAAAAATTAAGTTTAAAGGAAAACTAGTGTTTTTCAAAAATTGCAAAATTACTTCATATTTTTAAAGCTATACAAGGCATTTAAAAAAAAATTTACCATAAACATTCACAGTGTGTCCCTCAAATGACATGAGAATAGGGAGCACAGGGGAAATCTCTTGCTTTTCCTACTCATGGTGGGCAAAAGTGAGACAACTAAGTTGGACTAAAGGCAACTCACTGTGCCCAAATGGCAGCCTCCGTTGAGTTAAGTCAGAGCCATTGAATGCTATAGAAAGTGTTATTACAACATCAGTATTTGCTATTGGGAATTTAAATTATATTTTTTGAGAAAATATTTACCTATGCAATGTTTGATTGAAAATCACTGGAGTTTTCCTGTAAAACTTGGTCTGCAAAAGGATTTTGTAGGGTAAGACTATAAGACCAAAATCACCATTCTTTAGACCAATTGAAAAAAATAAAACCAATCCTAGGTTAACTGACTAATAAATACGGTCCTGAACCCAACCACCATTCTATTTAAAATTCTCCCTCCATCTAAAATTGATTTAATGCTAACCAAAAGAGAAAAAGTGAACAACTTTAACGTTTTAATAAATGGAGGCAGATGTTTTCTGGCTCGACAGTATTCCAAAGCTGCAATGACTAGTTTTTAATTCACAAACACTTCCCCCTCCCAATGATTGTTTCCGAAAATTAAACTAGAAAAAGTTACATTTGGATTGAAAGCATACATTTAACAACCCAGTTTCACCAAAATGGAGCCTGCATGTATTCCCAACTAAAAAAACAAACCTGCCTAAAACTTACTCTAAGTCTATTAAAAAAAAATACTTACCGTATCCACTCATGCTGCTCTGGCCACCATAGCCGCCTCCATAACCACCACTCAGCTGCTGGCTGGCTGGGCCACCGTAACTGGACTGGTTTGCTGTTAAGTTAAGAAAACATTAGAACCTTGCTCCTTATGTAATGTGGTACCTGGTGGTACCGGGCTTGTAATTCTATATCTATGATTTTCCAGTCTTGATCTTCCATCACTATAACCCTCTGCCTCCTCCTGCCTATTGTCTATAACCAGGCTCCCCTTCTATCCATCATTTGAGCTAATCAAATATTTATAAACCAAAGTGCTAACGGTATACACATCAGCAGGACTAAAATTCACATGATTCCATTAGTAGAGGCATTCTGTGAAGATCTTATGAAATTGCTTGACTGGATTTAGTGGGGTTTCCCCTTTAGTTTGATATATCAAGGTATGTCAATATAAAGGTTTATCAGTGAACACCTAATTATTCCCAAATTTATCTTAATCCTGTTTTGCTATTTTAAATTTTATACTCAGAAAATTTCAGTAATCTCACTCCATAGGCCCCCTCCCCCAAGAGTACCTAAATCTAATTTGAATTATCTATCCTAAGCAACTTCATAACACACAAAGTTTAAGTAAGCCAGATACAAAAATTCATTCAAATATCAAGAAACTGCTTTCTTTGCCTAAGTTTGTTATGCTAAATTCATAAAATAGATTAACTTAACTTACAATTAACTTATACAGATATAAACGTTTTGGTTTTTAAAAAAACTAACGATATTTACACAAGCCCATGCCTCCCATCATTTGGCTACCATAAGCACCACCGCTTGCTCCTGCTGTAGAATTCAAGAAGAGTTCTACATATCTGTGTTCTGAAATGAGAGAAAAGGCATACAAGGTTAGCTTAAAAAAAGGACACTAAAGTGATATTTACACAAACCCATGCCTCCTAGCATTTGGCTACCGTAAGCACCACCGCTTGCTCCTGCTGTAGAATTCAAGAAGAGTTCTACATATCTGTGCTCTGAAATGAGAAAAAAAAAGTTTGAAAATGTTTGTTGGTGAAAGAAAACAGGATAAGCACTTTTTAAACAAGCAGATCTATGAACTTCAAATACTTTGGCAAAGAAAACTCTAGCTACTTCTCTTAGGTGATCTTTAACTTCAAAATCTAGCCTTTACATATTCATCTATATTGTCAATAAAGGATATATACTTCAAGATGTGAGATGTGTATCACAAATCTGTTAAACTCATTTTTAAAAACCAAACCTTTAACACACCCCACCCCCGTGTACCCCAAGAATCAATCTATTACTGGAAAGGAAACTTCTCATATATTCTTATTTTTCTATTCCTCTATTGTAAATGTTAGTCACACAATCACCTAAGAAAGAGCCCATAAATGCTCAATCACACTTACGCATATTTGCTTTGTCTTTTGACATAGCTGCCACAGCATCTTCATGAGTTGCAAACTCGACATCTGCTTCACCAGTTACTCTGCCATCAGGACCAATTTCAATGTGTACTCTCACAGGATTGAGTGGTGAAAAAAACTACAACACAAGGCAGTTCAAAAAACTGAATCAACTTTCTAATGTTACCAAGTGAAACTAAAAGTTCGTGGTGTTCTCTTTATAGTACAATAAAGTTCAGACATTTACTGTCATACTGAAATACTGACTTGTGAGTGCATCTTACACTTACATTGTAAATGTCATTCTCAGTAGCTCTGTAAGGTAATCCTCGCATGTGTACACAGTGTCCTGTTGTGCTCTGGAAAGTAGAGCCACCATCCCCGTATCTGTGATCAGACATTCCTGAAAAACAGTAATTGAGGTCTAGTTGGACAAGAGTGTAAGCATCCTTCAACTGAGAAATTCAATTCTTACCTTACCTCTTCCAAATCTATCTGACCCAAATCCATAGCCATCATTATAGCCATTGTAATCGTCATAGCCTCCATAGCCTGAAAGACCAAAAAAAAAAAAAAGTACCATCAATCAAATAAAACATCTACACAAAAGGAACCGACTTGCCAAACCTTATGAATCCTCACGTACCTCCACCATAAGCACCACGCCTCATCCTTTCAAAGCCTGCTCCTCTGCCAATGCTGTTATATCCTCTGCCAGCCCCAGGTCTGTCATAGGGACCTGGCCGCTGCATGGCCATAAGCTTTCGTGGTGGGTCATAGTGAGTTCTAACTTCAGCTCTACTGCTCTTAAAGATTTCAATATACCTAAAGCATTGTTTGTAAGGAAGGGGTAGGGAGGGGAGAGAGAACATTAGTTCATTTTATACAGGTATTTAGTTATACAAGAAAACAACCTAGTCACAGCCATGAAACTGACTAATACTTAGAGCCAGATTTCTTATATTTGTATAGGCAATGACCAGAAATTCACTCAATAGTAAGACTTAATGTATACTTTATAGAAAAAAAAAACTCACTCCTCTGAGGCAGAGCCCAACCTTAGGGGTAGAGAGGAGTACTATATATGAATGTATATATAGTACATTAGGAGGGAAATAATTCCACTCAACTTTCAACATTTCACGTCTTAAATCCATTGGCAGCATGTATAGCAAGTGGGCTAAAAAGCCAGCCTCCACCAACAGTCTAGCCCACACTACACATTTCATTTCGCCAATTAATACCCCAGCCTATGCTTTTAAGTAAGAATCAGCATAGGTAAGCGCATGCTTCAATGAAAAATAGTCACAAGCAAAGAGAATAAAACCTTTTGTGACAATTTCTTGAAAGCTATGCTTATTAATACTATGCAGAATATTTATATACAGCAAGAAAAAGTTTGTTGCATTTCAACTTTAAAAACAAGATCAGAAAGTATCACATTTTCTTATGGTAATATTAATTTACTAGGTTGGTGTTATTACAGCTAAAGCCAGGTTTGCATTAATTTTTTAAAGCCATAGTCTCTCAACTCTACTGGGGTTAATAAGGCTCACAAAATTGTAAAGTAGACCAATTAACTAGGGACAAATTTTAAACCTAAAATTTAGTTTGCATGTGACATGGGATTCTGACACAGGAAAAGTCTAGAAATCATGGCAAAACATCAATTAACTAGGACTACAAAACATTAATTTCTTTTTTTAAGCAGAGAGAATATGGATTTAATTGTTTACCATAAGAAAAGTGACATATCCAACCAACCATCCATCCCCACCTGTGCCCTATTCTTTCCTTGTGTTTCTTTAGAGCCTTTTCAGCTATTTCCTGTGAAGCAAACTGCACGAAGGCCTCCCCCGTACTCCTCCCCTGGAAGTCCACCGGCAATGTTATCCCATTTGGCACGATTTCCAACCCTTCAACCCAAGGACAAATAACCCCAGTAGGGGGGCAATATTAACATCACAAGCCCAGAAATGATTCTTCTTATAGCTTTAAATAAACCAGAATTTTTAACTTTAGGTGAATGGTATGCTTTCAACAAGTACTCTTTAAATATGCATTTCAATAATATGAAGTTCCATTATACAAAATATAACTATTCTTAACACACCCATGGTACAGTATATATTTTTAAAAAACCAACTTGCTGAACACAGGATGCATTAAGAATTAAACAACTTAAGAACACGTATCAATACAACTTAATGTTGAGAATTATACAAGAATTCAATTAAGTTTTAAGCATTAAATAACAGTTTTACTAAATTCAAAACACCTTTTACCTCATTTTATATTTCAATGCTTTAAGTTATTGGAACTTCAAGTTTTAAAAAAAGGTACACATTTAAACATTTCATATAAAAACTGAAACATTAAATTATAATTGACAAACATAACAATCTAAATTTTCAACAAAACTGATCTACACAGCACAATCATGCTTGCTTATGCTCTAACAGTAGTATGATTCACTTCTGGAAATTCCGTCTATGAAAAATCCTTTCCGTGGATACATTCCCAAGCTTACAAAAAGGACTTAAAGCACTTTCCTAGAAGATATGAAATTATGTTCATATTTAACGTTGACAGATAGCATTCAATTCTCACCAATTTAGATTAAAAACAAAACAGACTTCATTTTTAAAATTCTGACATTAGGACTTTATACATGTATAAATTTCTAACATACAACAATAAACCATGAAAGGATTTCTTGCTTCCAGTTTATCACATCATAAATATTAATACTTAAAATATAAGATATCTAACATTCTGTTATACATGCATCTTAACTCTTCAGCATAAAAACATTCAAATACTTTAGGCCCAGGAACAATTTCAAAACACTTGTTACTTCAGACAGGGAAACTACAAGCATTCAAACTACTCACTACATCTGATTTTCAGTAAGTTTGTAACACACTGGTTAAACCAAGTCTTTCATAATGGACTTTTGCATTAAAAAGAATTAGACCATTAGAGATGTTTCTGGTCCCATAACCCAAGTGTCTCTTGCAACAAAGACACCTGCCATAACTTACAACAACCTAATTCATCATACTAATCTGATGTTAAGGGATCTTACCTTTAACTTGAGGTACTTAGCTGGACAGCAATGTGAGGAAAGTAGTTAAGCTGTTGAGGGCAATCCTCAATGAAAGATCTACTCTGAACTATAATACTAAATATAGGCAAAGTTAACATTTTGGAAGTACTTCATTTCCACCTTTAAGATGGGCTTAAATTATTTGAAGGTCTCTAGGAAGAAAATATTAATTCACTGGCATAAATTTACAACCTATTGAAAGACCTAAGCTGCTCAACTTTAAGGTCTATTAAATCACCTTGCCAGAAGCTAGCCAAAACTCACTGCTCAGCAACAAACAGGACTACATACCTGAGAAGAACTGAACAATTTCTTCCTTGCTACATCCAAAGGGAAGTCCTCTAAGACGTACAAAGCCATCATTGGCCGTGTCAGGACTATTTGGACCAGTATGCTTCAACACCCAATCCATTTCAACGTTGTTTGACTTGAATACTGAAAGAGGTGCTTAGAATTAGTCAATTTTGGAAAATTAGATATCAAAGTTCAGACTTCCTGGGTCTTTAGATAAGCTAGGAAGAGCTGCCACAAACTCCCTTAGATGACCATTTCCATGCGGTCAAATACCTAAAATTCAGAAGGGGTAAGACCTCTATGTGCAATGCTTTATTTACTGTTACTAGGGCAATGTAAATCAAACCTTCAACATATCTGTGTCCCATAGTTTCTCTGTCTTTTTTCAGGGCCAATTTGACTTCATCTTCTGATTCAAGTTCAACAAAAGCCTCGCCACTCGGTCTGCCTTCTCTGGTGTAGATGAAACGAATACCTTGAGCACCATTTTGAATTTTGCAGTCTGGAAAGAAAACAACCGTTAATACAGAATTTAAAACCTAAAACCACCTCTGGGTGACACAGATGAAATGCCTATTCCATGTCCCCACCACAAATTACATTAACTTGTGAAGCCTATAATGAGCACGATATTACCAACTCCTGGAACTCCAATTAAAAAAGAAATCTCATTCCCAAGGTGATGTATTTCCAACCCATCAACAACGTCCAACATTCAAAGCAGTTACAGAATGAATTTCTCTCTTTAGTCCTTGTTACTCATGTCTCCATCACACATCCTTTAACAATTTCTCAGAATATTATCAAGTCCGTACTTTGTGACTTTATGGCAAACATACTTCCTTCTGAGTTGTTTTGGTCTGGTGCATTTGTCAGTTTACTTTACCGGCAGCCACATTACGGTTTTTCATTCAAATCCAAATTGCAGGCCCAATACTAACCTGAAAGGGAATCAGTGTTACCAAGCTAAAATGCTCCAAGTTGCAAAGCTGAAGCCAAACCCAGTGTTGCCCCCTGCAAGGTGGCTTCCAGTGTGCTTGGTTGTTTTACAGGTCGTTTCCCGTTACCAATGCTAAATTCAGATAGTAAGTCAACACTACAAAGGTCTTGCCAAAAGCTGTCAATTTCATCCAAATAGAATTTCATCAGTCTAATTTCTTTCCCCCAGTCTAATACTGGGAACAAGTGCATTCTGATAGAAAACACTCAGGAAAACTGTACTGCAAAAAAATTTACACAGGCAAGAAAACTTCCCTGGGCTTCAGCGTCTTCAACTGTATAGTGAGCCATATCAAGAACTAGACGAGCAAACACCCTTCAATTACCGAATTTTGATTAGGAAAGCTGAAATGAAGACGTGACACTTTAACTTTCCGAAGGAGAATGCTCATTTTCAAGGTAACACCAAACTGTAAACAAGAAGTTACACTTCAAGATACTCCAAAACATTACTATTTGTCTAATCACTCAGGAGATTTTCTCAAGATTCAAGAAGAAATCCCATCTATTGCCAATTTATCCTTTCCAAGAGACACCCAGATAGGGAGCAGTGGCTCACGCCTGTAATCCCAAGCACTTTGGCGGTTCGAGACCGGCCTGGCCAATACAGTGAAACCCCCGTCTCTACTAAAAATACAAAAAGTTGGCCGGGCGGATCACCTGAGGTCGGGAGTTCAAGACCAGCCCGACCAACATGGTGAAACCCCGTCTTTAAAAAAAAAAAAAAAAAAAATACAAGAAGTTAGCCAGGCATAGTGACACACACACAGCTATTCCGGAGGCTGCGGCAGGAGAATCGCTTCAACCCTAATCGTAGTGAGCCGAGAACTCAAAAAAAAACCCATAAAAGAACAACTGGTGTTCAAAGGGAAGTAAAGAAAACAAGTCTACCAGATCGGCAGCACTCCAAGGGACAGGAAAGCGGCGGGGCTTTCGAAATTTCCATTGCGTAACAGCGGTCGGCAGAGCGCGAACAGCACAGCGGGAACTGCAGTTACCCGCGCCACGCCAGGGGGCGCCCCGAGTCCCGCCCGGCCCGGCCCGCCCCGCCCCAGCCCGGCAGCCCGCCAGCCCGCCCGCCCAGGCCTCGAACTCGGAACTCCCGCGTCCTAGTTAACTCACCAGAAAAAAACCTCTGCACTTCATCAGCCGAGCAAGACCAGGGCAACCCCCGGACCTTCACCACGAATCCCTCTCCACCTTCGGTGCCCAACATCATTGTCTCTTACACGGTCCGGCGTCGAAACAAACTGCAAGGCGGGGAAGAAGACCAGACCTGAGCGCGCCCATTAAGCTGTGCTCCGCCCCCGATGTGCCACCCCGGGCCTGTGCCGCCCGCCCTACAGAGCAAAAACCAGGCGGACGCACCCACACCCAGGCGACTCCAACACCCAACACTTCCTTAGCGAGCAACCGGACCCCCAAAGCTGCTCTGGGGAGCAGATGTCGGCGCCCCGAACGCCGGGGTCCGGGGCCGAGAGCCAGCGTGGAGGTAAGGAAATGGCGGCGGCCGCTTCCGCTCCGCCTCCTCACACAATAGACTCGGCGCGGCCTGCAGGCCTCAGCGGCGCTGTCGGGATTCAGCGAACAACGTGCGGTTCTCGAAGGCTGCCCACAGCTAGCGAAGATCCCCACAGCCCTCCAAAAGGTCGGGGGGAAAACAATCCCCGCAAAAACGGACCCCACGGGGGTCGAGGGACGGCTAGGGAGGACCGACAACGACTCACCAAGACACCCGACTTCAACGTGGATAAGACGAAATGGCCAGCAGGCGCCTGCGCAACCTAAATAAGGCCCTTTGTGCGAGCTCTGCGCACGCGCAGCCAGCTGCTCGCACCGCCCCCTTGCGTCACAAAGAGCTCTGACGAAGGCGTAACTTCAAGAATCAGCCTGCCGCCGGTTGGTAGATTATTACACGCCTGCGTTTTGGACTCAGCACCCCCACCCATAAACCCGCCGGGCTTTTTATTGCGCCTGCGCTTTCCCCGCGAATATTGAACTTGGAGCATCAGCGGTTTTTAATTGTTTCTTGCGCATGCGTCTTCCTTGAAACCGTTCTCTAGCCTTACCCGCCAACGTGGGGGAGGGGAATGGCGGCACCAGTTCCCTATGGGGCCGTATAGGAGTCCCGACCTCTGGGTTGTGATGAGGTGGGCGTCTTTCTACCCCTTACCCCCAGTCTTACCGGCGCGCTCCTGGCCGGCCTGAAAGGAGGAGCGCGGCCTTCAGTTGCTCCCACTCCCCGCGCCGCCTGTCTCCCCTTTATCCCAAAGCTGGCCGGAGCTGATCAGCTGCAGATTGCCGAGCGTCCTGGGAACTACAGGGCTGCGGACGTCCCGCGTCCGAAGCCTCCCGGATGGTGCCTGGGGCACGTCCCAGCTGTGTGTGCCTGCACTTCCCCTTGCCTGCCGTCGTCGGGCCTAGGGCGCCGGTCGGCGGGGGGTTCCCGTGCCTGTGGCTCGCGCCTGTACCCCGCTTTTGCCTAACGAACTTGCACCCTGTGTACCCCTTACCCACCTCAGGGTCGGCGGGCCTGGAACGCCTTGGAGCCCTGGCACGAGGACGGGTCGCCAGGTACTGCCTCGCGAGCGCGATCTCCTCCGCTGGTGCGCGCCGGCCTCTGTGCTGGAGGAGGCTCCCGCTGAATCATCCCAGCGCTGAATTGATAACAGTGCGTGCATTCCCCAGGCGGAGACCCTGCGTTCGAGGCCCCTGGGTCACCCGGTGTGCACATACGCTGCGAGATAAGTAATGTTCGTGGTTTCTAGCAGCACTGCCAAAAACCGAAGACGCCGGAGCTTCCCAGGCGTCCCGATGTCTAACCTGGCTACCCTCTTCACCCTAGCTCTAGTGGACACAAGCAATAAATTAACCGTAAGGTAGTGTTGGACCCTGCCGCAGGGCTACCTCAGGTAGTACAGGCCTGAGTGCCTCCCTCGGAAGATGCGGGCAAAGCATGTTTCCAAACCCAGTGCCACAGAGGCCGAATCCAGTTTTGACAGGTTTGAGGAAAGTAGAGGACATCCAAGGAAAGACAGGAGGCCCAGAGCTAAGGAGGGCCTGATCTTCAAAGGCCACTTCGGCCTTGGCAAAGGTGTTAACTCCAAGAGAAGGCATTGCCAGATGATCATCAGGGGAGCAGTAAGTCCTGTGTAAAGGGAAAGGCTTGCTGGATGTGAGGGAGACGCAAATAGAGCAGGCAGAGGGAATGATGGTACACGCCATGCACTCTGCTGCAAACAGAACTAGAAGCACATACCCGTGGTACTATTTCAGAAGGCACTGTGGCTGAGGTCATCAGGAAGAGAGACTCCCGCCGGGTGCGGTGGCTCACACCTGTAATCCCAGCGCTTTGGGAGGCTGAGGCAGATGGATCACTTGAGGTCAGGAGTTGGAGACCATCCTGGCCAACATGGTGAAACCCTGCCTCTACTAAAAATAACAAAAATCAGCCGGGTGTGGTGGCATGTGCCTGTAATCCCAGCTGCTCAGGAGGCCTAGGCAGGAGAATTGCCTGAACCCAGGAGGCAGAGGAAGCGGTGAGCCGAGATCACACCACTGCCCTCTAGCCTGGGCAACAAAGCAAGACTCCAGCTCAAACAAAACAAAACAAAAATTAGCCAGGCATGGTGGTGCTTGCCTGTAATCCCAGCTACTTTGGAGGCTGAGGCAGGAGAATTGCTTAAACCCAGGAGGCAGAGGTTGCAGACAGCTAAGGTCATGCCATTGCCCCCAGCCTGGGAAAAAAAAAAAAAACCCCATCCAAAAAAAAAAAAAAAAAAAAAAACTAGTGAGGTAGAATGAATTTCATACATTTGTAGCCAATTCGCTTTTACGTAAATTGTCCAACTTACATAAAAAGGTTTTTTATTTTTATTTACCTTTTTCTTTTCTTCTTCCTTTTTTTTTTTTTTTTTTTTTTTTTTTTTGAGACATGGCCTCACTCTGTCACCCAGACTGGAGTGCAGTAGTGCAAACATGGCTAACCACAACTTCTACCTCCTGGGCTCAAATGATCCTCTTGCCCCAACCTCCTGAGTAGGTAGACCACAGGTTATGTGCCACCTTGCTCAGATAACGTTTTAATTTTTTTGTAGCAATGGTATCTTACTTTGTTGCCCAGGCTGGTCTTGAACTCTTGGGCTCAAGGAATCATCCCATCTCAGCCTCCCAAAGAAACGTACTAAGATTACAGATGAGAGCCACCATGTCTTGCCATTAAAGAAGGTTTTTTTGTTTGGTTTTGTTTTTGAGACAGTCTCACTCCGTCACCCAGGCTGGAGTGGTGCAATTTTGCCTCACTGCAACCTCTGCCTCCCAGGTTCAACCAATTCTCCTGCCTCAGCCTCCCAAGTAGAGGTATTACAGGTGTTTGCCACCACACCTTGCTACTTTTTAAAAGTTTTTAGTCCAGATGGGGTTTTGCCGTGTTGGCCAACCTGTTCTGGAACTCCTGACCTCAAGTGACCTGCCCACCTGGCCCCCCCAAAGTGCGGAGATTAGGGGCATCCGCCGCCATGCTCGGGCAAAGGTTTTTTGAATATAAAAAGTTCATAATCAGGCTGGGCGAAGTAGCTCATTCCTGTAATCCCAGCACTTTGAGAGGCCTATGCAGGTGGATCATGAGGTCAAGAGTTCAAGACCAGCCTGACCAACGTGGTGAAACCCTGTCTCTACTAAAAATACAAAAATTAGCCAGGCGTGGTGGCATGTACCTGTAATCCTAGCTACTCAGGAGGCTGAGGCAGGAGAATCACTTGAACCCAGGAGGTGGAGGTTGCAGTGAAATGAGATCACACCACTCCACTCCAGCCTGGGCAACAGAGCAAGACTCCGTCTCAAAAAAAAAAAAAAAAAAAGTTCATCATCTTGCCTCATTGATCTTACTGTCTTGGTATACATCTTATACTTTACAGAGCTCTTTTTTTTTTTTTTCTTGAGATGGAGTTTTGCTCTTGTTACCCAGGCTGGAGTGCAATGGCGCAATCTCGGCTCACCACAACCTCCGCCTCCTGGGTTCAAGCAATTCTCCTGCCTCAGTGTCCCAAGTAGCTGGGACTATAGGCATGTGCCACTATGCCCAGCTAATTTTTGTATTTTTAGTAAAGACGGGGTTTCACCATGTTGACCAGGATGGTCTCGATCTCTTGACCTAGTGATCCACCTGCCTTGGCCTCCCAAAGTGCTGGGATTACAGGCATGAGCCACCATGCCCAGCCTAGAGCTCTTTATTAAGGATGTTTGTCCTTAGGATAGTGGATAGTTGCCCCAAATATTCTTCTTGGTTTGCTTACCTTTAATTATTTTTGTGGTTTTGTGGTGATATTTTTTGTGTGTTTTAGAGACAATGTCTTGTTCTGTGCAGCGACACAATCATAGCTCACTGCAGCCTTGAACTCCTGGGCTTAAGCCATCCTCCAAGCTCAGCCTCTTGAGTACCTGGGAGTAAAGGCATTTTCAACCAGGCCTGACTAGTGTGTGTGTGTGTGTGTGTGTGTGTGTGTGTGTGTGTGTGTGTGTGGTGATGGAGTCTCACTATTTTGCCCAGGCTAGTCTTGAATTCCTGGCCTCAAGC